GACGGGTCGCCAATCAGTCCTGTTGCCCCGCCGAGCAATAGAATAGGCGTATGCCCAAACTGCTGAAATCGACGTAACGCCAGTAAAGGTACAAGCGAGCCAATATGCAAGCTGTCCGCGGTAGGGTCAAAACCACAATATAAGGTGCGTGAGCCGCTATCCAGATGTTCAGAAAGGCCGTCGAGGTCCGATACCTGAGCAACCAGACCCCGCCACTGCAATTCGGCAATGAGCTCACCAGACATAATTTCGACCCCCAAAATGGATGCGAACCATAGCAAAACCCTCCTAGACCGCAAATACGAGAGTGCCAACCTGTGACAAAATTACTGGCACAGAAAGAGCAAATTCGTATACTCCCTGCTCGATACGAGGTTCCGAGCGTAAGCTACGGTTTATTAAAGAGTATTTGCTGGCGACTCGCAGAGCGCAGAGCGGCAATACAATGGACGGTATGACCACGTTGCAATTTCCGCGCGCACATCTTTTTATTGTTGTGATTTTGACCTTTGGCTTGTCTTCTTTTGTCATCGCAAAATTCGCTGACGATCCTGATGCAGACCGGTTCACCACCGAGTCTGTGCTTCTTGATCTGCCACAGATAAAGGATGAGGCTCTAAGCAGCCAGCAAACTGAGGTTAATGAAGCCATCACGCCTGTTGTGGCGGAACTGGCCATGCTACCGGTTCAAGCTAAGGAGCCAGAACCCCGCGCTCAGCCACAGTGGCAGGAAATCTCTACAAAAGTACAGCCGGGCGACAATCTTGCACTTATTTTCAAACGTAATGGCTTAAGCGCTCGCGACGTACACCTGGTCAGCACCAGCAAACCTCTAGGCAGCCGTCTTAAAAGCATATTCCCAGGCCACGAACTGACTTTTTTTGTAGACGAGGAAATGCGCCTGATGAGGCTGGACTATTCCAGCGGGCCATTGGATACACTGGCGTTCGAGCGCAATGGTGAGAGTTTCGATGCGGAACAAATCACCGCTGAACCCGAGCGCGTGCTCGCCTACAAACATGGCACCATTGATCACAGCTTATTCGTCGCCAGCCAACGGGCTGGCTTATCAGATGCTCTCACCATGCGTCTGGCGCAAATCTTCCAGTGGGATATCGACTTTGTTTTAGACATTCGTCCAGGTGATGCTTTTTACGTCGTCTATGAAGAGCTTTATCATGAAGACGAATTTATCGGCCACGGCAACATTCTCGCGGCAGAGTTTGTCAATCAGGATGAACCCTACCAGGCTATCCAATATGCCAAGGAAGGCGCGGACCCCAGCTACTATGCGCCCAACGGCGAAAGCATGCGCAAAGCCTTTTTGCGCGCACCAGTTGAATTCTCGCGTATCAGCTCTAACTTCAATCTGCGACGCGTGCATCCGCTGTGGAAAACATCGCGACCCCATCGGGGCATCGACTACGCAGCACCGCGCGGTACTCCCATTCTTGCCGCCGGTGATGGCAAGGTTAAAATCGCCTCACGCACCCAGGCCAACGGCAACTACGTTGTTATCCAGCATGGCGAACAGTTTGTGACCAAGTATTTGCACCTGAAGAACTTTGGACGGGGCATTAAATCCGGACAGCGTGTGAAACAGGGGCAGGTTATCGGCTACGTGGGCTCCACCGGCTGGGCAACCGGCCCGCATCTACACTATGAATTCCTGGTCAATGGTGTACACCAGAACCCCCGCACCGTATCACTGCCCAATGCAGCGCCCATACCCAAAGGCGAGTTACCTTTCTTCCATGCCCATACACAGCAATACCTAGCGCTGCTGGACAACTATAAGAGCCAGGTTTCCCTCGCCCTGGCACGGTGACGGCGCAAACCACCCAACGCTATCTAGGCTGCATCAGCGGCACCAGTGTTGATGGTCTGGATATCGCCCTGGTCGAGGTTGATACAGACAATCAAGTGTCTATTGGCAGCGCCAGCACCACCGCATTCCCGCAAGCATTGCAAGAAACGTTACTGGCCCTCGGACAACCCGGCGCAGACGACCTTGACCTGCTGGGTCGCAGCGATGCGGCACTGGGCGCATTTATAGGTCATGCCCTGATCCAGTTTATGGATGCGCACGACATCGACCGTGGCAGCATCACCGCCGTGGGCTCACATGGTCAGACCGTTCGCCACCGCCCGCCCGAACCAGCGCATGACTATGGCTTCACCACACAGATTGGTGATCCAAACTACATTGCTGAAATTACCGGCTTGATGACGGTTGCAGATTTTCGTCGCCGGGATATGGCGGCAGGCGGTCAGGGTGCGCCGCTGGTACCGCCGTTTCATCAGGTCCTGTTTGGCCAATCAGAGCAGGCGACCGTAGTCCTTAATATTGGCGGTATCAGCAATATCTCTATTCTGGGAAACACGCCAAGCGGCTTTGATACCGGACCGGGCAACGCGCTGATGGATGCCTGGTGTGCACTGCATACCGGTCATAATTACGACCAGGACGGGCGCTGGGCAAGAACAGGAAAAATTGATCAACATCTATTGCGCGCCTTATTGACCGACCCCTATTTTGCGCTGCCTCCTCCTAAAAGTACCGGGCGGGAATATTTCAATCTGAAGTGGTTGACCCCCCACCTTGAACAGACAAATGCCGGCGCTGCAGATGTTCAGGCCACACTCGTGGCATTCACCGCCGAGTGCACGGTCGAGGCTATCAACCGTTGGGCGCCGGACACACAATCTCTGGTGGTATGCGGGGGCGGCAGACTCAATTCAGCGTTGATGCAGGCACTTGAGCAAAGGTGTGAAGCCCAAGTACTACCTAGCGAGGCACACGGAATTGGTGGCGATGATATTGAAGCCGCGCTGTTTGGCTGGCTGGCACACCAGCGTTTACAAGGGCTTATCGGCAGCGAACCGGCAGTGACCGGTGCCAGAAGTGGCCGGGTCTTGGGTGCTATCTACCCCGCCTGAAATGACGGGTCGTACGTAAGTTACTCAGCTAGATAGAAAACGAATTGCCGCAGCCACAGGTGGCCGCTGCGTTAGGATTGGTGACTACAAATTGCGCGCCATTAAGATCTTCGACGTAATCTACTTCTGAGCCATCCAGGTAAGGGTAACTCATCGCATCTACCACCATGGAAACCCCTCCACGGCTGATCACTGCATCATCCTCTGCAACATCATCATCAAAGGTGAATCCGTAAGAAAAACCGTTACAACCGCCTCCGGTAATAAACACCCGCAGGCGCAAAGATGCGTCGCCATCGGCTTCTATCAGATGCTTGACCTTGCTCGCTGCACGGTCGGAAAAGGCTATGTTTGTGTCCACGATCCTCTGCTTACTATTGGTACGTCTGCGGCATAATCTACAGCACCGTTTTGCGCGGTCAAGCGAATGTCAAACAGGGCCAGGTTCAGCCGTCGGCATTGGCATCGACGTTGAGTTTGTGCACATTGGCCTCAGGGGTGGCCTCCTCGTGGACCAACTGGCCATCAACCAACGCGCCTAACTGCATTTCTATTAATTTGTAGTAGAGATTCCCTTTTACCTTGGCCTGAGGTGCCAGCTCTACTTTGTTGCTGGCGTATACATTGCCTTCGATCAGACCATTAATGATGATATTCGGTACTCGCACCTCGCCCGCCACACAGCCTTCCTCACTAACCACCAGGGTTGCTTTTTCACTGCTGGCGACAACATTGCCGGATACCTTGCCTGCCACATAGAGCTGATCACTGAAATTGATATCCCCTACCACTTCGGTGTGAGGTGCAATCAGGGTGACCCCTTTGTCGAATTTCTGTCTTGCCATTTGTCCTGTCCTTAAATCTCTGCGATCGCATATATGAAAGCTGCGTCCTGAGTTACACGTCCTTTTCCAGTTCCTGGCTTTCCAACCCAGATCTCTTTATATCAGGCCTCTCTTTCAGGCCGCTCCAGATCAGGCCAGGGAAAGCTCACCTGCAGCGGCTCTTTGCCAGACTGTTTTGCTGTGACAAGAATCCGCGCAGGCGAAAAGTTATCAGGCAGAACCAGGTTGCCATTCATATCCTGAAAATAGCGAAACCGGAATTTCATAGGATAGGCCTCTAAAGAGGCTAATTCTGTGAGGGATAGCACTGCTTCGCCTGCATCCGGGTCGTCTGCGTAACGACCAATCACATCTAAACGGACTTCACCAGCGATAAACCCGCGACGTAAAGCGACCTGGGTTAAAAGGAGCTGAAAGTTGTACTCGCCTGCCTCGGGCAGCGCGACCAGTTCCAGTTCAGCCACCTGCAAGCCTTTGGTCAGGCTCGATGGTGACATTAATCCTTTGAAGAAAGTGACTTCTTCTTCCAATCGCGCAGTTTTACTCAGTTCCTTGGTAAGATCTTCGCGGAGACTGTTACTTGCCTCACGCAACACGTTGAGATTTAACTGCGCATCAATAAGTTGGGCATCCAGCTCAATAACTTTTTTGTTGGCTGTTTCAAGCTGGTTGCTCAACTGCACAGCATCACCTCGGTATGTGATGATCTGATTGGTGCCAAAGATGTAGCCCAATAAGAAAAATCCGACGCCAATCACAATTGTCACAATAAGCACTAGAGGCCGCCGCCACGGCTGATGCTCAACCAGTTCGAACTGTGGTGCGGAGCGATTTGCCTTAAGAATGTTGACTATCCTAACGTTAGCGATATCCCAGTATACTATGGCTCGCAAACCCAGACGTTAAGAGCCCGTCACGAAACTCAAAAGACCTATCAATCTGGACGTTTTCCGCAGACGCCTGGCAACCGTTGATGCACAACCGCAATTGGCGTTGCTTGGTTTTGTTACCGGCATCGTTACAGCGGCTGTCATTCTGGGTTTCCGCACCGTAGTGGATGCGGGTCTTATCTGGCTCCCCGGCGACAGCACGGAAAATTTTGAAGGGTTGGACACCGTCACTCGCGCGATACTGATTATGAGTGGCGCAGTCGTATTAGGGTTATTGCTCAACCGCTATAAATCGTCCGCACGGCGCGTCGGGGTTGTGCATGTGATGGAGCGTCTGAGCCTGCACCAGGGCAACCTGCCTTTAAAAAACGCGGTGATTCAGTTTATTGGCGGCGCCATTGCGCTGGTTACCGGTCAATCCGGTGGTCGCGAGGGGCCTGCGATTCATCTGGGCGCCACCGCCGCGAGCTTGCTTGGGCGCGCGTCCAGACTACCGAACAACAGTCTACGCACCATGGTGGCGTGCGGTACTGCTGCTGCCATCGCCAGCAGCTTCAATACGCCTATTGCCGGTGTCATTTTTGCAATGGAAGTGGTGATGATGGAATACACCATTGCCAGCTTTATCCCGGTTATCGTTGCTGCGGTAACATCAACTCTGATCACGCAGTTTGTGTACGGCAATGAACCGGCTTTTATCGTTGCTCCCTCAACCATGCATTCGCTGTTCGAAATTCCCTACCTGGTTCTAGGTGGCATCCTCATTGGCTGTATCGCCGCAGGTTACATCCAGTTAATCCAGGCGTTTGCCCGTTTGTCAGAACAGCCTTTATGGCAACGCATCGTCATGGCCGGCGCAATCACTGCAACCGTTGCGGTATTTGTGCCACAGGTTATGGGCGTCGGTTACGACACGGTGAACCAGTTAATGGTTTCTGAAGTATCGATCGTGGTGCTGTTATTGATTTTATTGGCAAAAGTGGTCACCAGTGCCGCAGCGGTCGGTTTAGGAATGCCTATCGGTTTGATTGGCCCAAGCCTGTTTATCGGAGCGATCCTCGGTAGCTTATTTGGCAGTTTGCTGATCAGTTGGGAAGTTGCCGATGTTTCTCTCGGGCTGTACGTTATGTTGGGTATGTGCGCGATGATGGCTGCCGTTTTACAGGCACCCCTGGCGGCGTTAATGGCGGTGATGGAACTGACCGCCAACACCAATATTATTTTGCCGGCAATGGTTATAATCGTCGTGGCCACCATGGTCACCAGCCAGGTTTTCCGGCAGCGCTCTGTGTTCATCACCACGCTAAACACCTTGGGCCTGCAATATCCGCCTAACCCGGTAACACTGCATCTGCAGCGGGTTGGCGTCACCGCCATCATGGACAGATCTTTTGTGCGCCTGCCATCACAGATCAGTGTATCCGAGGCGGAGGAAACGCTTGCAAAAAAACCGCACTGGATCATCGTCGAGGACAAAGACGCTTTGCCCACTGCGGTGCTGAACCCATCCGACCTGGCCGCTTTTGTTGAACTCAGGCAAACACGAGAGTCTGAGCAATTAGAGTTGATTGAAGACCAGGCGGATGAAAAAATCCGCCTCTTACAGATACCCGGTCAGCGCATGGATGTGACCACCATTGGCGCAGAGGCCACGGTGATGCAGCTGCAGGAACTGCTGGACAAGACACAATCTGAAGCCTGCTGCGTGACTCGCACCACCGCGCCGATGATTAAACCCATTATTGGTGTTGTGACCCGAAGCCACATCGAAAATTACAGGAACACGTCGGCATGACCTTTTACTTGTGGCTTAAAGCTTTCCACATCATCTTCGTTGTCACCTGGTTTGCGGGCTTGTTTTACATGCCGCGGCTGTTCGTCTACCACTCTGGCGCAACTGACGAGGTCAGCAGAGAACGCTTCAAAGTGATGCAGGCCAAACTCTACAAAATCATCATGAACCCCTCGATGATCGCAACCCTGGTACTAGGCACATGGCTTCTGATCGAAAGCTGGCAGGCATTTTCCGCCCAGGGATGGATCTGGCTAAAGTTATTATTTGTCATCGCACTGATCGGATATCATCATTACTGCCTGCGGATCATCAAAGCGTTTGCCGATGATCGTGCCCTCCACAGCGAAAAGTTTTACCGCATCTTCAATGAACTACCCTCCCTGGTATTGGTGGCTGTGGTGATTCTGGTTGTGGTTAAACCTTTTTAACCTGTACCGGCTGCACTAAACCAAAATAGACTAATGAGCGTTTTATGAACCGATCTACTTCCAGCGACCTGATTCGTCGTGCCAAGCGCAGCATTCCCGGTGGCGTCAACTCACCTGTGCGCGCATTCAAAGGCGTGGGCGGTGACCCGGTATTTTTCAATCGAGGCAACGGCCCGTACGTGTACGATGTGGACAACAATCAGTACGTCGATTACGTGGGGTCATGGGGACCCATGATTCTGGGTCACGGCCACCAGCCCACCGTGGACGCTGTTGTTGCTCAGGCACAAAAAGCTCTCGGCTTTGGTGCGCCGACTGAAGGCGAAATCACGCTGGCAGAGGCCATTATCGAACGTGTCCCCAGCATTGAAAAAGTGCGCATGGTGAATTCCGGTACCGAAGCAACGATGTCAGCCATTCGACTTGCACGTGGATTTACCGGCCGCGACAAGATTCTGAAATTCACCGGCTGTTATCACGGCCACTCAGATTCACTGCTGGTAAAAGCAGGTAGTGGTGTACTGACGCTGGGCATACCCAATTCGCCTGGCGTACCTGCAGCCGTCGCCGCGGATACGTTGAACGCACCTTTTAACGATATCAGCGCTGTGCAAGCCATCTTTGCTCAGTACCCGGAACAGATTGCCTGCATCATTGTTGAACCCATTGCCGGAAATATGGGCTGCATCCCACCGGTTGAAGGTTTTTTGGAGGGGCTTCAGGACATTACCCGCAAGGATGGCGCGCTGCTGATTTTTGATGAAGTCATGACCGGCTTCCGCGTGCATAAGGGCAGCGCTCAGGGCATGTATAATATCCAACCCGACTTAACCACACTGGGGAAAATTGTTGGCGGCGGTCTGCCGGTTGGCGCATTTGGCGGGCGCGCCGATGTCATGTCCTATATAGCTCCTGAAGGTCCGGTGTATCAGGCAGGCACTCTGTCCGGCAACCCACTTGCGGTAAGCGCAGGTCTCAGCACTCTGTCGCACCTGGATGACGCGTTGTACGAGCGCGTTGCACAAGCAACCGACGCGTTGGTTGCAGGCTTAAAGGCGTTGGCTGCCAAGCACAAAGTGCAAATGGCCACGAATCACGTCTGTGGCATGTTTGGTCTGTTCTTTGATGTGGAGCAGGTTGAAAACTTTGACCATGTATCAAACTCCAATGTCGAAAAGTTCAACCGCTTTTTCCATGCCATGTTGGATAATGGTGTCTATCTGGCACCTTCCGCATTCGAAGCAGGATTTGTCTCAGGCACACACAACAGCGAGGCAATCGAAGCCACGTTATCCGCAGCAGACCAAGCCTTTGCTGCGCTCTAACCCGTAAGGATCAACATGTACGACGTTTTTGGACTGGGTAATGCCCTGGTCGACACTGAAGTGAATATAGACGAAGGATTTCTGCATACGCATCGAATTGCTAAAGGGCACATGACGCTGGTGGATACCGAGCTGATGCAATCTCTCGTCGCTGCGGTCGCTGAACTGCCTAAGAACAGCTGCAGCGGCGGTTCTGCCGCCAACACTATCTACGCTGTGCAGGGTCTAGGTTTGAAAGCTTGTTACAACTGCAGACTGGCCCATGACCAAACCGGTGATTTTTTTGTCCAGGACCTCACCGCCTCTGGCGTTGAAATTAACGCCAATGCCCAAGGTAACTCGGACACCGAGGGCCCGGGCAATTCCGGTCAATGCCTGGTACTCATCACCGCTGATGCCGAACGCACCATGATGACAGACCTGGGCGTATCGGTTGAATTGAGTATCAACGAAGTCAACACTGAAGCATTACAAAACTCTCGTTACTACTACGTAGAAGGCTACATGGCAGCGTCACCCAGCGCGACCGCCGCATCAGTTTACTGTCGTGAGCTGAGTGAGACGCATGGCATTGATGTTGCTGTTTCACTTTCCGACGTATCGATGGTCGAATTCTGTCGAGACGGCTTACATCAAATGTTAGGCAACGGCATCAACCAACTGTTCTGCAATGAAGAAGAAGCCCTATCCTGGGCAAACACAGATCGCATAGACATCGCGATAAAAGAACTGAAGGACATCGCTCCTGAAGTTTACGTCACCCTCGGCGCCAAAGGTTCTATCGCTGTTGCCAGAGAAGGCGGTGGTGAAGCGCCTGGTGTCGCTGTAAAGCCGGTAGATACCACAGGTGCGGGCGACATCTACGCAGGCGCCGTTCTTGCAGCTCGTTGTCGCGGTGCTACGCCGGCCCAGGCAGCTCACTTTGCCAATCGCTGCGCCGCGGAACTGATTACCCACTATGGCGCTCGACTGACCGCCATTGAGGACTATCAACGCCTGCTAGAGCAACACGGTTAGCTGTCGGTCAATCGACATGTGGTGCAGATCGGTACTGCACCCATAAGCCTGGACTTCAACACCCAGTTGCGCGACCTCGGCTAACTTTTCAGCATAAGCGATATCTATTTCCGCTGCGGGCCTGACCTGCTCGATGCCACAATGCTGGGCGCAAAAAATAAGCAGCGCACGTTCACCTGCGACAACCCTGCGTGCCAGAGCATCCAGATGTTTCAGCGCACGACTGCTTACTGCATCTGGAAACGCACCCAGATGATCACCTACCATTAAAGTTGTGCTTTTTACCTCGACAGAAACGTTAACGTCCGTATCGACAACCAGAAAGTCAAAACGCCCGTCTCCTTCGGGTATTTTAGCCTCAGCCTTGATCATGGTCGGCGCATCTATAGCGGTCACCGTGCCGTTTTGCAGCGCCTCCGCTACCAGATAATTCGCACGCCCGGTGTTAACTGATACGTATCCTTGCGCAGTCTGCACAATTTCCAATGTGTGTGGATATTTGCGTTTCAGATTGTCTGACACTGAAACCCAGGCACGGCTGCCGGGTTCGGCGCAGCCTGTCATTGCACCAGTATTAGGGCAATGTGCAGTTATTTGTGACCCGTCGGGCAATTCGAAATCCGCAAGGAAGCGCTTGTAGCGCCGCAGCAATACCCCTTCAAAGAGCTCAGGTAATTTCACGCAACACCCCAGCGCTGCAGTGCTGTTTGCAGTCGCTGCAGGCCAAGCTGAATAGATGCCTCATCGGTGGTAAAAGCAAAACGGACAAAAGCATGTCTCGTATTGGCGCCAAAATCTTCGCCGGGTGTTACTGCAACCTGAAATTCTTCCAGCAGACGATGACAGAATTCGATCGCCGGCAGGCCGGTATTGGATACGTCGACGTAAAGATAGAACGCACCCTGAGGCTGCACGGGTATTTTGAAGCCGAGCTGCTGCAGCCCTTGGCTTAACATCGTTGCACGCTTCATAAACTGTGCGGCACGATCGCGATGAATCTGCATAGCAGGCCCACTGAATGCCGCGAGCGCTGCATATTGCGCCGGTGTACTTGGCGCAATAAACAGGTTCTGAGCAAGTTTTGTCACGCCTTGAACAGCTTCTTCCGGCACCACTAACCAACCCAGACGCCACCCCGTCATGCCAAAAAACTTGGAGAAGCTGTTCAGCACAAATAAATTATCGGCCAGCGCCAGGCCAGAGTGATAAGCCGCATTTGGTGTGAGCCCCTGATAAATTTCATCAAGAATAAAGAAGCCGCTCTTTGCTGCAATAAACGCAGCAATCTCCCGCAGTGTTTGTCCCGGCAGCATAGTTCCGGTGGGGTTGGCAGGAGACGCAAACAACACACCTCTGGTGATTGCAGACCAATGTTTTTCAACCTGCGCCAGAGTCGGCTGGAAGAGGTTTTGTGGCTCAACCACAATCGGTTTCGGCACCCCGCCTGCCAGTTGAGCAAATACCTCGTTACAGGGGTAACCGGGATCTGTGATCAACAGTTCATCACCAGGGTTCAACAGCAATGCCGCCAGTAAAGTGAGCCCCCCGCTCGCGCCACTGGTGATAATAATCCGGTGAGGTTCCACCGCAATACCCAACTGCGAGTAATGACCGGAGATCGCTTCACGCAGGGCAATAATGCCGGTAGCTTCGGTGTACTTTGTCCGCCCATCCAGGAGCGCCTGGCGGCCTGCTTCAACGATGGGCCCGGCGGTCGCAAAATCGGGTTCACCCACTTCAAAATGCACAACGCGTGTACCTTGAGCCTCAAATTCGGCAGCGCGCCTGACCACTTCCATAACGCGAAATGGCTGGATCAGATTTACCCGTTCAGCAAACAGCATTCAATGTTCCTCTAGCGCACACACTTGGTGCAATTTTTTGTACTAACAGTCAGGTTATTTTTCAGCAAAACTTCGCTACTTTGATGTGGTTTTGTGCTCTGCCTTCTGGTAGCTTACGCGCCCTTCGCAGATCCGGGTGCATTTTACCCCATGTATAGGATGATCTATGGCGACTAAAGCAAAGGCAAAAACTGCCAGCAAGACGGCAGCCACTAAAAAGGCGGCCAGCAAAAAGGCCAGTACGGCAAAAAGTGGTTCTACCGCGCCCCGCGCAACAGCCAATTCTCCCTTTCGTAACTACACACCTTACGAACCGAAGAAAAAAGAAACATATATGAACGAGGCGCAGCTGGCGCACTTCAGGGAAATGTTGATGAACTGGCGTCGCGAGTTGATGGAAGAGGTTGATCGAACCGTACACCACATGCAAGACGAAGCTGCAAATTTTCCGGACCCCGCTGACCGGGCAACCCAGGAAGAAGAGTTCAGTATTGAACTGCGGACCCGCGACCGGGAACGCAAGTTAATTAAGAAAATCGATCAGACCATTGATCGACTGGACCAGGAAGATTACGGCTATTGCGACACCTGTGGTATCGAAATCGGGCTTCGACGCCTGGAAGCACGGCCAACCGCAACCCAGTGTGTAGACTGCAAGTCTCTGGATGAAATAAAAGAGCGGCAAATCCACGGCTAACCGCTTGCACACGCCCGGAGACAATCGGCAGCTCACCGGGCGTTTTGCACCTTCCCCAACGGGTCCCCTGCACATGGGGTCCTTACTTACCGCACTCGCCAGCTATCTGGATATCCGACAACGCGGCGGGCAATGGTTTGTACGGCTGGACGATTTAGACCCACCGCGACAGGACCCTTTGGCGGATAGCCAGATCATTGCTGCCCTGAATGTTCACGGTTTAATCGGCAACCGTGACGGTAGCACCGTCGTTGACTACCAGAGCGATCATCAGCATCGTTATGAAACTGCCTTGCAGCGCGTACAGGACCAGCTTTTCTACTGCAATTGCAGCCGTCGTTCTTTATCTGGTGAGCCAATCTACCCTGGCACCTGTCGCGGCCGCAAAGCCTTGCAAGCCGATTGCGCCGTGCGCCTGCATGTGCAGGACATTGAAGTGAGTTTCATAGATGAGCTGCAGGGTGCGTTTTCCTATCAAATGGCCAGCGATCAGGGCGATTTCATTGTTAAACGTCGCGACGGCTTATGGGCATACAATTTTGCTGCTGCCGTCGATGATGGCCAGGATGCCACCCACGTCTTGCGCGGCGAAGATCTGCTAGAAGTCACCGCACAACAGATCTACGTCATGCAGTTACTCGATCTGGCACCTCCACAGTATGCTCATCTGCCTGTATTGAGCTTTGCCGACGGCACCAAACTATCGAAGCAGACACACGCGCCATCATTGAATAACCATCAAGCTGCTGCAAATCTGCGATCCGCCCTGTCATACCTGGGCCAGAACCCGCCCGTGGAACCTGCCTGGGCGGTATCCCAATGGCTCCAGTGGGGGTTATCCAATTGGCGCCTGGACAGGGTCCCAAAACAGCTTTCAACGTATGTCGAAAACGCTTAAAAGAAGCTTTAAAAGGGCCGCGTTGATTGCCTGACGCACCCCGGTTCCTTTGCTAAGATGACAACCTATGACAGACATATTGCTCATTGATTCTGACACCAAGCACGCCGATGCGCTTGCCGCGGAATTGTGTGAGCAAGGCTTAGTGGCAAAGGCAAACGGGCAGTTGCCAGCATTGGCGAGCCTGTCCCAGCACCAGTGCGTGGTGATTCTCGATGAAATTGTCGAACCTCATCTAACCCATATCGCAAGCAGCGTACCGACTATTGTACTGACCCGCTCCGGCAGCATTGCTGCAGCTGTTACCTTCATAAAAAGAGGTGCTGCCGACTATCTGCCGCTGCCGCTGGATACCGCACAGATTCTGGCCGCCATTGAACGCGCGACGACAAACCCGTCAGTGATACAGAGACCTCAACTGGCTGATTTCCCCATGATCGGATCGTCGCCAGCGATGCAGCAGCTGAAAGCCAATATTGCCAAAGCCGGACCCACGGATTCTACGGTTTTAATCCTAGGTCAATCAGGCACTGGGAAGGAGCTGGTAGCCCGCGCCCTGCACGCGGCCAGTGCACGCGCCGCGGCGCCACTCGTTTCAATCAACTGCGCAACCATTCCACCCAATCTGATTGAAGCAGAACTGTTCGGCTTAGAACAATTCGAATCAGGCGCGCATGCTCATCGCGGTCTTATTGAAGCTGCGGAAGGCGGCACCCTGTTTCTGGATGAAGTTGCAGAGTTACCGCCCGCCGCACAGGCTCGGTTGCTGCGCGTTTTAAAAGGCGAAAACCGTCGGGTTGGCAGCTCCGCCACCGAGCCCGCAAACGTGAGGGTTATCGCCGCCACTCATCGAAATCTGAGCGATCTGACAGAACTGGGCCAGTTCCGACAGGACCTTTTCTATCGCCTGAACGTCGTCTGTTTCGAAATTGTACCGCTTCACCAACGCAAAGAAGATGTTCATGAAATTGCCTTGTGGCTGCTGGAACGCACCAGCAAAAGACTGAACAAGACCGGTTTATCGTTCGCCAAAGAAGCGCTTCAGGCACTGGTTGAGTATCACTGGCCAGGTAATGTTCGCGAACTTGAAAATGCGCTTGAACGCGCGGTGATCCTGTCTGATAACAACAGCGAAATTACCCAGGCGCTACTCGCCATACAGCCGATCCCCAAGCCTGCACCCGCTCCGCTCGATGCAGGTGCTGATCCGGACCAGACCTCTCTGGAAGATTACTTTGTGCGCTTTGTTACAGACAATCAGGATAACTTCACGGAAACCGAGCTCGCCGAAAAACTTGGTATCAGCAGGAAGAGTTTGTGGGAGCGCCGTCAACGCCTGAATATTCCCCGCAGGCGCACGCGCAAACGTGGCCCGCGCCGCGATAGCAGCACTTCTTAAGCAAGTAATTAGTTAGTGAGCAGTACACTACCTCAGCGTATAGACGACCACATCATCAATCGCGATGACCTTGATACTCATGCAGTGGAAATTGTACGCACCCTGCAAGGGGCTGGCTTTGAAGCGTACCTGGTAGGCGGTTGCGTTCGTGACCTGCTTTGTAATAAGAAGCCGAAAGACTTCGATGTTGCAACCAGCGCAAAACCTATCGAAGTAAAGGCTCTGTTTCGGCGTTCTCGACTCATCGGGCGACGCTTTCCCATTGCCCACGTCAGATCCGGGCGAGAGCTTATTGAGGTTTCAACCTTTCGTCAGGCTCAACACGACGACATAGAAACCAACGAGCACGGTTTGATCATGAAAGACACCGCCTACGGGACCGCAGTTGATGACGCGTTTCGCCGCGATTTCACGATCAATGCGCTGTATTACGACGTCGAAAGTCACGAGATTATCGACTACGTTGGTGGCATAGAAGACATCGTGAACAAGCGCCTTCGATTTATCGGCGATCCAGCGGACCGGTTGGCAGAAGATCCGGTGCGCATGCTGCGCGCGATAAGGTTCGCTGCCAAACTTGGGTTCCGCATAGACGATAATATTATGGCGTTGGTTGATGATACCGCAGAGCGCCTCGACGCCATTCCCGGCGCCCGTCTATTCGACGAATTCCTGAAACTGTTTCTATCCGGATACGGTGAGGCAGCCTGGCAACTGTTGAGTGCCACGCCTCTGGCTCACAGCCTTTTTCCGAGTTGTGACCCGAGCAGCAAAATGGTTCGCGCTGCGATGCGCAATACAGATCAGCGGATTGCCGCAGACCAGCCCGTTACACCAGGGTTCCTGATTGCCGTTCTACTCTGGGCCGACTTCGCCGCGCGCAGCAGCGAAGCCAATCCAGAGAATAAAGCGGGCCTGGTTTACGACATCGCCAGCGACACACTAGCGGTACAGCAACAGCACATTGCTATTCCCAGACGTTTCAGCACGTTTGCTCGGGAAGTGTGGCAGTTACAACCTCGCCTGATCGCTCGTCAACCTAAAAACATCCGTCGAATTCTCAGCCATAAACGTTTCCGCGCAGCATTCGATTTTTTATGTTTACGCGGAGCTGAAGACGAAAAGCTGGCCGAACTGGGTCGCTGGTGGGAAACCCTGCAGACTCTGGATAGTGACGAACAGCAGGCAATGATCGATGCACTCCCCACCACCGGCAAACGACGTCGGAACAGGCGTAAGCGCAGCGGCAACCGCCAGCCCGGCAACGCCCCACAGGAGTCCTGAGTTGCAGGCATTATCCGGCGGTATCGAAGCACCCAGCCAGCTGCTGCAAATTCAGCAAAAAATCAGCCAGGTTCAGAAACAACGTGGCTTCCCATCCTTTATCGCGGTAGAAGGTCCGATCGGTGTGGGTAAAACAACGCTCGCCAGGCGTATTGCAGATACCTGCCACTATCCGCTCATGCTTGAACCGGCGACGGAAAACCCGTTTCTCGACCGTTTCTACCAGGAGGGGAAACAGCATGCTTTGCCTACCCAGCTGTTTTTTCTACTGCATCGCGCACGACAAGCTGCTGATATGCCGAACAGCGACCTCCTACAGGCATCATTGGTTACCGACTTTCTGATTGAAAAAGACGAGTTGTTTGCGCGTCTGACCTTAGATGATGAGGAGTTCGGACTTTATCAACAGATCCAGAAGAGCCTGCAACTCAACCCACCCACGCCGAACCTGGTGATCTATCTGCAGGCGCCTGCGGATGTATTATTGCAGCGCATCGAACAACGCGGACTGGCCTTTGAAAAGGGTATCGACGCCGACTACCTGCATGCCCTGACAGAAAGCTATACAGAGTTTTTTTACTACTACGACAAAGCGCCTCTGTTGGTGGTCAATGCCAGTGAAATTGACTTCGCTAACAACGACGATCATTTTGCTGCGTTGCTGGGTCAGATCATTAAGATGGAAGGCGCGCGGCAGTTTTTTAATCCAAACCCCGTGCTGTTATAACGCAGGCTATGTGCGTTGAGTCACAATACTGCCTCAATTAAGCCAGCTGCAGCGCTCAGGGCAAGGATAGTGCACAAAATGGATGCGTTTTTAGCATTAGAATGCTCGCGATTGGACGCAACATTTTTGACGATAGAAATCTGCAATGATTATCGCTAGGACAGCTACGCATCTCGCATCCGAACTGGATGCACTTCGCTTCAAGAACGGCGCACAGCGTTGTGTCAGTTTGGTCACAACCCGAGGTGGATTCCACGACGGACACGGCACCGTTATCAATGCAGCCGATACCGTCAGCGATATCGTTGTTGTCGCTGTGGCGCCGGAACCCAACCAGAAAAACGGTAACTTGGTGACTGCATCGGAATTTCAGGACATCAGTTTCCTGGAAAACCACCATGTTGATCTACTTTATGCCCCGGCTGACGATGAACTGTTTCCACACAGTTTCGAATTCATGATCGGCGTCGCACAACCTCACGCCTGTGATGTTGTTGATGTGGGTGCCTATCGACTGACCCAGCATTTGAAACTCATAAATGCCGTGCTGCCCAATATCATGGTCTGGGGCGAAAAGAACTTTGTCGAGTTTCACAGCGTTCGTCAGATGATCAACAATCTGGATATACGCACACAAATTCAATGTGTACCGACGCTGCGCCACGCTGACGGAGTGGCCGTATCAAGCGCCGCAGAAAACATGACCGCTGCAGAGCGCGCCAATCTGCCTATCCTCTACGAAACATTGAACAACGTTGCCCACGCAATCCGCACCGGCGCTAGAACTTTTTCTAATCTGGAAAAGACCGCGCGTTTAGCACTGAGGGGTGCCGGTTTACAGATTCAATACTTCAAAATACTGGATGAAGAAAACCTGGGTGCCGCCAGCGAAAAAACCACAACCTATCGAATCCTTGGTGGCGTTAAACTGGGTAACATTCCAGTCAGCGACAGCATAGGGTTAACGCTTTGACAGCAACACAATCGCCCGCGTGGCAACACCTTCAGAACCTGACCGACCCGCTCACCCAGCAACCCCTTAAAAGCCTACTCAATGACAAGCAGCGCGCACAGCGACTGCAGCATCAGCTGGCGGGCATTTGGTTTGATTTCAGCAAGCAGTGGGTAGACGGGGTGGTACTGGATGGGTTAACCGCACTCGCCCATGACCGCAACGTGATGTCCCAGGCAAAAGCCATGCTGGCAGGTGAAGCCATCAACCTTTCCGAAAATCGAGCTGTTTTACATAGCGCGCTACGTGGCGGAGCACCGGCTGCGGACAAAGACATGCAGGATCAGGTCAACAAAACCCTGAGCAGGATGTTCAAACTGGAAGCGGATATCACCAGCGGCAGATGGCGCGGCTATACAGGCAAAGTCATCACCGACATTGTCCACATCGGTATTGGTGGTTCTCATCTCGGTCCGGAACTGGTGGTTAACGCGCTGGTCGATCATAAAACGAATAGTCTGCGCATCCATTTTGTGGCCAATATCGATGCCGCTGAATTGACCCGCACGCTGGCTTTGTGCCAACCGGAAACAACGCTGTTTATCATTGCTTCAAAGTCTTTTGGTACCCTTGAAACCCAGGTCAACGCGAAAAGCGCACGCAGCTGGTTTCTCGAGCGTACCGGCAGCCTCGAAGGCATCGCAAAACATTTTGTTGCTATAACAACCAATCTGTCCGCCGCTAAGGCATTTGGCCTGGACGAGGCAAATTTATTCCCACTATGGGACTGGGTCGGCGGCCGCTTTTCTCTATGGTCAGCGGTAGGTTTGCCCATCCTGATGAGCATCGGCAAACAGGGGTTTGAGGCATTTCTCGCCGGCGCAAAGGAAGTAGATACACACTTTGCCACAGCGCCTGCTGCGGCCAACGTGCCACTGCTCAGCGCATTGCTGGCGACCTGGAATTACAACTTTCTCGGCGCGCGCAGCCTTGCCGTGCTGGCTTATGATGAGCGCCTTAAGCTACTCCCCGACTACCTGCAGCAGCTCGAAATGGAAAGCAACGGTAAATCCGTGAACCGAGCAGGCGAGCGCGTAGATTGCGCCACTATGCCTATTCTCTGGGGCGGTACGGGCACTAAAGGCCAGCACGCTTATCACCAGATGCTGCATCAGGGCACGCATGAGTTTACTGCGGATTTCATCATCGTCGCACAAGATGAACATAATTATCCTGAACACCATAACTGGTTACTGGCTAATGCTCTGGGACAAAGCCAGGCAATGGCCATCGGGCATTTGCCCGCTGAGAACGAACCTCACAAAGCCGTTGCGGGTAACCATAGCACCACCACAATTGTTCTGGACGCACTGGCTCCCAGGCAACTTGGCGCTCTACTGGCCACCTACGAACATAAAGTTTTTTGCCAAGGCGCTATCTGGGACATAAACTCCTTTGATCAATGGGGGGTTGAACTCGGCAAGCGCTTGGCGGAGCCCATCTATGCGCAACTGGCTGGTCACACCGGCCAGCCCGCAACACAGGATCTGGTCACCCAGCACTTGTTAGATCACCTCAAGAACAAAAAACGATAAAGCCGAGAAACCGCGGTAGGAGTAGTTCCATGAGTCAGGTTTATCCCGTGAATGCGTTCATGCACGAACGAGCGTTCATCAACAACGACCAATACCTGGCCATGTACCAGCGTTCTGTTGAGGACCCGGATGCCTTCTGGGCTGAACAGGCTGATAAATTCCTGACCTGGGACGCACATTGGAGTGAAGTGTCCAACGCCAATCTCGACACTGGCCATGTGAGCTGGTTTACCGGCGGCAAGCTCAACGTCAGCGTGAACTGTATCGATCGACACCTGCCTGAGCGGGCAGACCAGACCGCAATCATCTGGGAAGGGGATGACCCTGGTGAGTCCACACATATCACCTATCAGGCTCTGTCTGATGCCGTGGGGCAACTGGCCAATGGTTTGCGTGCCAGAGGTGTAGGCAAAGGTGATCGTGTGTGTATCTACATGCCAATGATCCCTGAGGCTGCTTACGCCATGCTGGCCTGTGCAAGAATCGGCGCCATCCACAGCGTTGTGTTTGGTGGCTTTTCACCCACCTCTCTGAAAGATCGCATTCTTGATTCGGATTGCAGAACACTGATTACCGCCGATGAAGGCGTCCGCGGCGGCAAAAGCGTGCCTTTAAAAGCCAATGCGGAAATTGCACTGGCGGATTGTCCAAACGTGCACACGGTTGTAACTGTGCAGCGCACCGGTGCAGACGTGCAATGGCAGAATGGGCGAGATGTCTGGTATCACGATTTGATCGAAAACCAGTCAACCGCCGCTGAACCCGAGAGCATGGATGCGGAAGACCCATTATTTATATTGTATACCTCGGGCTCCACCGGCAAACCGAAAGGCGTTCAGCATTCGAGCGGTGGCTATCTATTACACAGCGCCATCACGCACAAATATGTTTTTGATTACCACGACGGTGATATTTACTGGTGCACAGCAGACGTCGGCTGGATCACTGGCCACTCCTACATCGTGTACGGTCCATTGGCCAATGGTGCAACAACACTCATGTTTGAAGGCATCCCCACCTATCCCGATGCGTCGCGTTTCTGGCAGGTGATCGACAAACATAAGGTCAATACTTTTTATACCGCCCCAACCGCGCTGCGCCAACTGATGAGCCAGGGTGATCAATACGTGACCGCCACCAAACGCACGTCGCTGAACCTGCTTGGATCCGTGGGGGAACCTATTAATCCGGAAGCCTGGGAATGGTATCACCGGGTCGTGGGCGACCATCGCTGCCCGATAGTCGACACCTGGTGGCAAACAGAAACCGGCGGCATCATGATTACGCCGCTGCCTGGTGCGACAGTGTTAAAACCTGGCTCGGCTACCCGTCCATTTTTTGGCGTAAAGCCCGCGCTGATGGATGCAGAGGGCAATCTGATCGAAGAAATAGAGGCTTCAGGCAACCTGGTCATCACCGGCAGTTGGCCGGGTCAGATACGCACCGTATACGGCGATCATCAGCGGGTCATCGACACCTACTACTCTACTTACAAAGGCTACTATTTCACAGGAGATGGCGCGCGCCGGGACGCTGACGGCTACTACTGGATCACCGGGCGGGTTGACGATGTTCTGAATGTTTCCGGCCACCGTATCGGTACCGCAGAAGTCGAAAGTGCGCTGGTCCTGCACCCGTCTGTTGCCGAAGCCGCGGTTGTCGGTTACCCCCACGATGTCAAAGGCGAAGGCATTTACGCTTATGTCACGCTAATGGTAGGTGACAACCGTAATCCTGAAGAACTGAAAGCTGAGCTTATCGCCTCGGTGCGCCAGGAAATAGGTCCCATCGCCAAACCGGACATAATTCAGTGGGCACCGGGATTACCTAAAACCCGGTCGGGCAAAATCATGCGTCGGATCCTGCGTAAAATTGCCGCTAATGAACTTGAAAATCTGGGCGATACGTCAACCCTGGCAGATCCAGGCGTTGTTGATCATCTGATTGAGAATCGCCACAACCAATAGGTTCAGGCACGCACAAAAAACCCCGCATCAGCGGGGTTTTTTTTAAGATCAGCTCAGATCAGAGATCAGCCTTCAGCCGCTTCTGCATCTGCAGATCCTTCATCCTGATACTTCGACAGTTCTTTGATGGACAGTTTGATACGACCGCGCTGGTCAACATCAAGTACAACCACGTCAACTTCTTCACCTTCTTTTAAGTAGTCGGTGACATTCTCAACGCGCTCATCTGCAATCTGTGAGATGTGCAGCAAACCATCTTTGCCAGGCAGAATATTCACGAAGGCACCGAAGTCGACAATACGCTCCACCTTACCGTGATAGATTCGACCAACTTCAGCTTCAGCAACAATTTCCTGCACGCGGGCAACCGCTGCATTTTTAGCTTCAGCCGTATCAGCGTAGATACGCACCGTGCCGTCGTCATCAATGTCTACTTCAGCACCGGTTTCTTCCACGATACCGCGAATAGTAGCGCCGCCTTTACCAATCACGTCACGGATCTTGTCCGGATGGACTTTAACTGTAGTCATAGCAGGTGCGTTATCGGACAGCTCTGCACGAGGCTCACTGATCACCTTGTTCATTTCGCCAAGAATGTGCAGACGGGCTTCATGTGCCTGTTGCAGCGCAGCTTCCATAATCTCTTCGGTAATACCGTCGATCTTGATGTCCATCTGCAGCGCAGTGACACCCTTCTGAGAACCTGCAACTTTAAAGTCCATGTCACCCAGGTGGTCTTCGTCACCCAGGATATCGGTGAGCACAGCATATTTATTGCCTTCCTTCACCAGACCCATGGCGACACCAGCAACCGGCATTTTCACCGGCACACCCGCATCCATCAACGCAAGAGAGGTACCACAGACACTGGCCATAGAGCTTGAACCGTTAGATTCAGTAATCTCTGACACAACGCGGATGGTATACGGAAATCCTTCTGTGTCTGGCAGTGAAGAAGCTACGCCGCGTCGAGCCAGACGGCCGTGACCAATTTCCCGACGTTTCGGGCCACTCATGAAGCCTGCTTCGCCCACGCTGTAGGGCGGGAAGTTGTAGTGCAACATGAACTGATCTTTGAATGTGCCTTCAAGCGCATCAACAATCGCAGCATCACGCAGGGTACCTAACGTTGCCACTACGATAGCCTGGGTTTCACCCCGGGTGAACAGAGCCGAACCGTGCGCTTTAGGTAAAACACCTACCTCGACAGAAATAGGTCGTACGGTGCGCAGATCGCGACCGTCAATACGTGGCTCACCGTTGATGACGCGCTGACGCACAAGGTTCTTTTCAACTTTGTAGAACATCTCCGCAATATCGTCTGCATCAAGGTCAGAACCTTCGCCTGCAAGTTGCTCAACAACTTTGCTACGCAGTTCTTTAACCGCGACCTGGCGGTCCATCTTATCAACAATACGATAGGCTTCACCCAGACCTGCTTTGGCAACATCGCTTACCTTGGTCAGCAAGTCTTCGTTTGAAGGTTCAGGCTGCCAATCCCATTTAGGTTTGCCCGCTTCAGCAACCAGTTCGTTGACCGCAGAAATAATCACCTGCATTTCCTGATGACCAAACAGTACGGCGCCCAACATTTCATCTTCACTGAGCTCTTGCGCTTCAGACTCAACCATCAATACTGCTGATTCTGTGCCAGCAACCGTCATGGTTAACATGGATTCTTTTAACGCTTCATAACCGGGATTCAACACATAGTTGCCATCCACGTAACCAACGCGTGCTGCACCAATAGGACCAGCAAACGGAATGCCAGAAATACCCAGCGCGGCAGACGTGCCGATCATGGCGGCTATATCCGGATCCTGATCCTTGTCCGTAGACATAACCGTACAGACAACCTGTACTTCGTTCATAAAGCCCTTCGGAAACAATGGCCGAATAGGACGGTCGATCAATCGACAGGTCAGGGTTTCTTTTTCGCTAGGACGTCCTTCACGACGGAAGAAACCGCCGGGAATTTTGCCGGCAGCGTAGGTTTTTTCCTGATAGTTAACCGTCAGCGGGAAAAAGTCCTGACCAGGGCGTGCGCTTTTAGCGCCAACAACAGTTGTTAACACAACTGTATCGCCGATGGTCACAACTACCGAGCCGGTAGCTTGCTTGGCAACCTTGCCCGTTTCAATAGAAACAGTCTGGTCACCAAACTGGAAAGTTTTGGTAATCGGGTTCAAATTATTACTCCTTTAAGTATGAGCGTGCGGCGTATTGTTAACGACGTAATCCAAGTCGTTTGATCAGTTCTGCATAACGCGCAGCATCTTTACTTTTTAAATAGTCCAACAGTTTGCGACGCTGATTCACCATACGAATCAGTCCACGTCGCGAGTGGTGATCTTTGTGATGATCACGGAAGTGGTCTTGTAATCCATTAATGTTATGAGTCAGCAAAGCAACCTGTACTTCCGGCGACCCTGTGTCACCCTCTTCGAGTTGATATTCTTTGATGATCTCTGCTTTATTCGTGGCTTCTAACGCCATGGTTATCTCCTTTGTTATGCACATTTGCCATTTAGCAAACTGATTTCTGCAGATACAACCCCGCATACATGGAGTTGCTCTGGGTTAAGTTCTGGCCAGTACTTATTGAGTGGCCACCAATCGTCTTGGCGCAACGCGCCCGTCATCCAGCACTTCACCAACGCCAAGGAACAGATTGTCCTTGCCGCTGCTGCTTTCGCTTAGCCTGACCCAACCACTTGTTGGAGCATGAGGAATTTGTACCGGCTGCCCCTGGCGCACATAAAACGCCGTTGCATCGGTTAACACTACCTCTGGCCACTGACCCACCGTGCTGGCGATGGGCCGTAGAAACTTGTCTAAAGAAACGTCTTCATCACGAAGTTTACCTAGCTCGTCGATTTCAACCATGTCCTGTTCAGTGTAAGGACCCGCTGCTCGGCGATGTAATGCCGTAACATGAGCGCCAACACCTAACTGTGCGCCCAGCTCTTCAGCGATGGTACGGATGTAAGTACCTTTGCTGCAGTGAATCTCAAGCTCAACTTCGACGACGCCATCCGCGTTAGAAAACCCGGCCAGTTCATTGCTGAACACTGATATACATCGGGCTTCGCGCTCAACTTCTATGCCCTGGCGTGCCAGCTTGTACAACGGCTGACCATTATGTTTCAGCGCAGAGTACATGGAGGGTACCTGCTGAATTTCGCCGCGGAAGGTTGGCAACGCGGCTTCCACATCAACCGCGCTGATGTGATCCGCCGGCCTGGTCTCAAGCACGTCACCATCTGCATCGCCGGTATCGGTCGCCACGCCTAGCTTAATCCGAGTCCAGTACTTTTTATCTGAAGCGAGAAGATACTGCGAAAATTTTGTCGCTTCGCCGAAGCACATGGGCAAAACGCCGGTAGCCAAAGGGTCCAGACTGCCCGTGTGTCCCACTTTCTGAGCGCCATACAAGCGCTTCACCTGCTGCACGGCATCACTGGATGAGATGCCCTGGGGTTTATTAACCACCAGCACACCATTAACCGGGCGGCCTTTACGACGTCTAGCCATCAGGCGCATCCTCATCACTATCGTTAGCCGGCACGGACGCCATCGCGGTACCGATGAGCTTCTCAATGCGCGGGCCTTCTGCGACCAGAAGATCGTAATGGAAACGAGGTTTAGGGGTTGTTCGCATCTTGTGACGTTTAGCCAGCGTAGAGCGGAAAAAACCCGCCGCGCCATTTAACACTTTTATCAACGCTTCCTGTTCCGCAGGTTCGTTTACCTGCAGTGAAGAAACATAGATCTCAGCATAGGACAGGTCTTTGCTGACTTTCACGTCGTTCACGCTGACAAAGGAGCCAACGCGAGGGTCACGCATCTCGAAGGCAATGATGCGCGCAACTTCGTCGCGTATAAAGTCGGCTACTTTTAAGTCTCGAGACACAGCTAACATCTATGATTGAGGCTAAAGATGCCGTGCCACTTCTTTGGCATCGAAGACTTCTATCTGATCACCCGGACGTACGTCATTGTAGTTGCGCACACCGATACCACATTCTGTACCGGCTCGAACATCATTCACATCGTCTTTAAAACGACGCAGAGACTCCAGCTCTCCTTCGTAAATCACGACATTGTCGCGCAATACACGAATCGGCTTGTTCCGATGAACTGAGCCTTCAGTGACCATACAGCCGGCGATGGCGCCGTAACGAGGTGAACGGAACACATCCCGCACCTCGGCAATACCAACAATTTCTTCACGAATTTCTGGCGATAACATGCCGGACAGAGCCGCGCGAACGTCGTCGATCAATTCGTAGATCACGCTGTAATAACGCAGATCTATACCTTCTTTTTCGAGCAGAGTTTTTGCTGCTTTGTCAGCCCGGACGTTAAAACCAAACACCGCGGCACCATAGGTGACCGCCATTGTGGCATCTGATTCGGATATACCACCAACACCGGAGCCCAGAACCTGCACGCCGACCTCATCGTTACCCAAATCTGCGAGGGCCTGGATAATGGCTTCAAGACTGCCGCGCACATCACCTTTGATCACCAGTTTGAGAATGCGTTTCTCGCCTTCCACCATGTTGGCAAACATGTTGTCCAACTTCGCCGCCTGCTGAGTAGCCTGACGGCGCTCCTGACTCTTATCTGCACGGAACTCGGCCAACTCACGAGCCGATCGCTCATCAGTGGCAACCGAGAAGTCGTCACCCGCGGCAGGCGTGCCATTTAAACCCAGCACTTCCACTGGTTGAGACGGGCCGACAGATTTAGTCGGCTGACCGGTATCGTCCAGCATTGCGCGCACGCGTCCAAAACACTCACCGGCAATAATTACATCACCCTGCTTCAGACTACCGTTCTGTACCAGAACTGTAGCAACCGGTCCGCGCCCTCTATCCAGGCGGGATTCGATAACCACGCCCTGACCGGGCGCCTCGGCAATAGCGCCTAATTCCATAATTTCTGATTGCAGCACAATCGCTTCAAGCAGCCTGTCCACCCCTTCACCGGTAATTGCGGACACTTTCACAAATTGAGTGTCGCCACCCCACTCTTCCGGTACCACGTCTTTAGCTGCAAGTTCGTTTGTGACACGGTCAGGATCAGCTGATTCAAGATCACATTTATTTATGGCAACAATAATTGGCACTTCAGCAGCTTTTGCGTGCTGAATCGCCTCTTCTGTCTGAGGCATCACACCATCGTCAGCGGCAACCACCAGAATCACGATATCGGTGACTTTGGCACCGCGTGCACGCATCGAGGTAAACGCGGCGTGGCCGGGTGTATCAATAAAGGTAACTTGGCCGCCTTTGGTTTCAACACTGTAGGCACCAATATGCTGAGTGATGCCACCGGCTTCACCGCTGGTCACACGCGTGTGACGAATGTAATCCAATAATGATGTTTTGCCATGGTCGACGTGACCCATCACGGTGACTACCGGTGCCCGTGGCTCCGTATCACCTTCAATTTTGAGTGAAGCTTCCAGCTTCTCTTCCAACACATCGTCGCTGACTACTTTGACTTTGTGACCCATCTCTTCAACCACGAGGGTTGCAGTATCCTGATCAAGCGTCTGATTAATGGTCGCCATGACCCCCATGCCCATCAGTGTCTTGATAACTTCTGACGCTTTGATCGCCATGCGCGACGCCAGATCAGCAACGGAATTAACTTCACCAACCTCTACTTCACGAGAGATAAACTCTGTTGGCTTGAACTCACCACCCTGGGTTTCAACGTGCAGGGCGCTCTGGCGATGAGAAGGTCTGCGTTTGGTACGGCGCTCACTCTTAAGCGACAGCTCGCGGCGGCCTTTACCACCTCCGCTGCGTGAACCTGGCGCATCGCGTCGTTCTTTTTCTTTAGCTTTACCGCGCTTTCCACCTTTCTGCTCAGCCTGCTCTTTGGCTTGCAATTCAGCAGCGGCGGCGGCGGGATCTGCGGGTGCTTCCGGCTTCGCCGCCGACTTTTCTGTTGCCTCTTTGGCAAGCCGTTCCTGTTCTGCCTGGCGAGCCGCTTCTTCAGCTTTAAGGCGCTCTTCTTCGGCTTTTCGTTCAGCTTCCGCTTTACGCTCGACCTCAGCGTTACGCGCGTCCTCATTGGCTTTAGCACGTGCCGCTTCTTCCTCCCGGATACGCGCAGCTTCCGCTTCAGCCTGGGAAGAATCAGCCACTGCTGGCGGCGTGTCTGCGTCTGGCTGCGCTGCAGCTTCGCCGCCTTTCACATAAGTGCGCTTACGACGCACCTCAACGGTTACATTTCGTCCCGCACGACCCTGCCCAGCCTTTAAGGTACTGCTGCTTTTGCGCTTTAAAGTAATCTTACGCTCACCGCTATCAGACGCGCCGTGGCTCTTTTGCAGGTAGGCCAACAGTGTTTTTTTCTGCTCTTCAGTCACAAGCTCATCTTCAGTCTTGTGCGGCAAACCGGCCTCTTGCATCTGGCGCAGCAAGCGGTCCACCGGTGTTCCCACGGTGTCTGCGAGTTGTTTAACTGTCACGTCTGCCATCAATCACTCCTAACCACCTGCATAACGTCTACCTTGACGCCTGCGGGCAGTAAATCTCTGTCTAAGCTTCTTCCGCTGCGTCCGCATCTTCTGCAAACCACGGTTCACGTGCTTTCAAAATCAGCACCGAAGCTTCTGCTTCGCTCAATTCTGGTTCTATTTCCAACAATTCGTCTATCGCCAGCTCTGCCAGGTCTTCCATGGTCACAACATCGTTGCCCGCCAGCTTGAACGCCAACGGCCGGGTCATGCCTTCCATTTCCAGCAGATCATCAGCAGGCGTTGCATCACCGAGCGCTTCTTCGCTGGCAATAGCTTTAGTCAGCAACGCATCTTTTGCACGATTGCGAAGTTCCTGCACAATTTCTTCATCAAAGCCTTCGATCGCCATCATTTCTTCGATGGGTACATAAGCCACTTCTTCCAACGTGGTGAAACCTTCTTCAACCAGCACGCCGGCCACGTCCTCGTCGACTTCTAACGATTCCATGAAGTCTTTGATGAACTTGACCGACTCTTCTTCCTGCTTCTGCGAGGCTTCTGCTTCGGTCATGATGTTTAATGACCAACCACACAAATCGCTGGCCAGGCGAACATTCTGGCCGCCGCGACCGATAGCCTGAGCCAGGTTTTCTTCGGTGACCGCAATATCCATTGAATGGGTATCTTCATCTAGCACGATCGAAGCCACTTCAGCGGGCGCCATCGCGTTGATGGTTAACTGAGCAGGGTTATCGTCCCAAGGCACGATATCAATACGCTCCCCGGCTAATTCGCCAGACACTGCCTGGACCCGAGAACCGCGCATGCCGACACAAGCACCAACGGGGTCAATGCGACCATCGTTGGTTTTAACTGCAATCTTGGCGCGTGAGCCAGGATCACGTGCTGCACCGCGTATTTCAATAACGTCTTCGGCGATTTCAGGCACTTCCACCTTAAACAGCTCGATCAGCATCTGTGGCGACGTACGCGACAGAATCAGCTGTGGTCCTCGATTTTCAGGACGAATCTCAGTTAACAGTGCGCGCAGTCGATCACCCACGCGAAAAGTCTCACGGGGAATCAGGTGCTCACGGGTAAGGATCCCTTCAGCATTATTACCCAGGTCAACAATGACACTGTCACGACCGAGTTTCTTGACCGTAGCACTGATCAACTCGTTCATGCGCGGCAGGTAGGCTTCAACAACCTGTGCTCGCTCGGCTTCGCGAACCTTCTGCACGATGACCTGTTTAGCCGTTTGCGCTGCAATCCGCCCAAATTCTACAGATTCAACCTGCTCTTCAATAACATCACCAAGCTTGGCCTCAGGATCCATTTCTACCGCAGCCTCTAACGAAAACTGTGCAGCCGGGTTCGGCTCTTCCTCGTCTTCGTAATTGACAATCGTCCAGGTACGAAACGTATCGTATTCGCCTGTTTCACGGTCAATGGCCACACGGAATTCCTGTTGCTCGCCATAACGCTTTTTCGTCGCCATAGCCAACGCAGACTCAATCGCCTCAAAGATCACTTCTCTGGGCACACCTTTTTCAAGGGACACAGATTCAACGACTAACAGTATTTCTTTTGACATTCGTTTGCCCTAATTACCTCAGTCAAAGACCGGCACAACTCGCGCCTTCTGGATGTTTTCCAGCGGCAGCAAAAATTCTTCATCTTCAATCTGCACAATCGCCATGCTGTCCTGCACACCATTGAGCACACCTATAAATTTCTTTCGACCTTCAAATGGAAAGTTCAGCCGAATATCTACCTGCTCACCTGCGCTGTCTGCAAACTGCTCTTCTTTAAACAGCAGGCGATCCATTCCAGGCGATGACACTTCAAGCGTATAGGCGCTTGAAATGACCTCTTCTACGTCAAGGATGTCACTAACATGCCGACTCACGGCCGCACAATGATCTACATCGATCCCTTCATCGCGGTCTATATAGAGGCGCAATTTAGTGTGTTTTCCCTGATTCAAGAATTCCACACCCCAAATGGTGCAGCCCAACGATTCAACCGTTGGCGCAAGCAATTCTTCGACCTGCAATTCCTTTCTATTCAATGAGTTACAACCTCATATGACCACTTCATTAGCGGTCGCTACGTTTCCTGCTGGCACAAAAAATGGGCCTGACGCCCATCTGCTTTGACTTACGCTTTGAACACGATTCGTCTACGTTGAACTACGCAATTGCAAAAACAAAGTTGAACTGCGTGGTTGCGCTTTAACCCCTGCGGCTGTCCGCCTGGGCTTGGGCTACGTACCAGGTACCAAGCCTTGGCTAGGTACCAAAAAGCCCCTATACAGGGGCTTTTCTTCCTTTGGTAGCGGGGGCAGGATTTGAACCCACGACCTTCGGGTTATGAGCCCGACGAGCTACCAGACTGCTCCACCCCGCATCAGCAAGGTCGCGAATTATAGGGATGCTTGGCCAAGGCTGCAAGGGGCGATTTGCTTGAGAATCTTCAGGGACTGAGCGACGTTATGCGGCAAAGCCGCAAAACTCGACAGGTCTCTCGATCAAGATCGAGAGACCAATGGTGCCGAAGGCGAGACTCGAACTCGCACGAGCATAAGCTCACTACCCCCTCAAGGTAGCGTGTCTACCAATTTCACCACTTCGGCGCGGTTCGGTTTACCCGACAGTAAACCGTTACAGTTGAGGAATGTCTCCGTCAGGGTCTTCTTCTACCTCTAGCGTAGGGACATCACCATCAATGGCGGGCAAATCTACACTTTCTTGCGGTTGCGTCAACTGCCCTTGTGAACTCTGCGTCGGCACCGTTGGGATACCCAGGGTATCCACAGCTTCAGAGCGTTGCTTGGCGAGATAAGCCAAACCAAACGCAATGACAAAAAAGGCAATCGCAAGCCATGCGGTGGCTCGGGTTAAAAATGAAGCCCCGCCTGCGCCGCCAAACACGGTACCGGATGAGCCGCTACCAAAAGCTGCCCCTACATCGGCGCCTTTACCTTGCTGAATCAAAACCAGCACGGTAAGTGCGATGGCATCAACCACGAGGAGGGATAACAGCACTGTTTCTATGGTCGACATGTCTTTCTTACAACCTTTATCACTATTCCAGTTAAATCTTCAGTTCGCTTCTGCTCTGCTAACGCGCCTGGGCTGCGGCATCAATGATGGCTGTGAAATCAGCCGCGTTCAGCGATGCGCCGCCCACCAACCCGCCATCAATGTCTTGCTGAGCAAATATATCTGCAGCGTTCTCCGGCTTCACGCTGCCACCATAAACAATTCGAATCTGTGCCGCCATTTGAGCATTTACTTCAGTCAGTAGCTGCCGCACAAATTCATGCATTTCCTGCGCTTGCTCCGGGCTTGCGGTGACCCCGGTGCCTATCGCCCAAACCGGCTCGTAACCGATAGCAATTTTACCCAGCTGCGCATGATCAATACGATCAAGCACGGCTTCAAGTTGGCGCTGTACCACTATCTTTTCGTGGCCCGCATCACGCTCGGCAGCAGTTTCACCGACGCATACAATAGGATTCAATCCACCCCGCAAAGCCGCCGCGGTTTTAGTACCCACCAGGTCGTCGCCTTCATTTTGCGCCAGGCGTCGCTCTGAATGGCCAACAATAGTCCATGAGCCGCCAACATCAGCAACCATCTCTGCTGCAATTTCACCGGTATGCGGGCCGCTGGCCGCTGTACCAATGTCCTGCACACCGCAGGCCAGCCCTTGTGGCGCAACCGCGACCGCAGCGCCCAGGTACAGTGCCGGCGGAAACCATACCGCATCAACCCGATCATCCATCTGCAAGGCATCAGCAAAAGCCTGAAGCTGCGCTGCAGCACCAAACATTTTCCAATTTGCAGCCACCAATGCTCTGCGCATATTTGGTCACCGGTAATTCGAGGGCGCGCAATGTTATACGCTCAGGACATCAATTGCCAAGATTGCAAAGTGAGAGTTTGCGGGATAGGTGTCACTGAGGAGCACGATCCAGCGGTTGTGGGAGCAGGATCGCGACCAGCAACAACACAACCAGCCCGAAAATGCAGCCAACTGCTGCTGCATCGAAGCTGCCGAAAGTATCGTTCGCCAGGCTGAAGGCGACTGGGCCAATCGCGCTGGCAAAAACCGTGATTGCAGTATTCAAACCGCTGATTTCGCCTAGATGCAGGGCGCCAAACTGGCGAATAAAAGCAAGATTAGACAAAACACCCCATAACCCGCCACCTGCACCGAAACCCAGTACCAGCAACCAATAACCCTCTTCGGTGTGTAATTGCGTAATTCCATACGCACCGACCAGAAACATCAGCAGCATGACAATTAGCAGAGGCTTCAAGCGGCAGTAATCCGCCAGTGCGCTGGCAACAAGATTTACACTCAATGAAACCACCGCCTGGGGCAGAAAATAGGCAAACGCTTCGACGCGGTCGCGCCCCGCCTCCTCAAAAATAGCGACAATGTGGAAAGTCACTGCGGTACCAAACAGAGCATGCATAGACAGCGCAGCCGAGTAGATCCAGAAAACCGGATCGCGTTTGGCGTCACTGGCGGTGCGCTCAGGCAATGATTTTGAATGTTGGTCCGAGTGGTTGTCGGAGCGGGCGTCTCCATCCGGGGTCAAACCCGCCACGTGAGGGTGGTCTCGGACCGTGAACAGCGCGATGGTGGTGAACCCGACACCAACGACCAGTGCCATGACCCACAACGCGCCGCGCCAACCAAAGGCGTCAATCATCCAGGCGAGAATCAAAGGAGAAATAGAAAAGCCTAACGATACAAAAACGCCGCGCAGACCAGAAACAAGTCCGCGACGCTTTTCAAACCAAACCAGCAACACATTGCGGCTGGCAGAGGTCAATACACCCTGCCCACTGAACCGCACACCAAAATAACCCAACAGAATGAGCGGGAAAGTTATCCAGGCTAAAGGCAGTGCAAATACACCCACTAACAGTCCGGCAAGCCAATCAATGCCACTGATCAATACCAGCATGATGCCGAGGAACGCCGGCGCTGCCACGAGCATCACCCGCGCACCCCACTGGTCATACCAGCGACCGGCGCGCGGCAGAGTAAAAGCGCTGGCGACGGTACCAAACAGGTAGGCTGTGGAAAGTTCGGTGCGCGTCAGGCCAAATTCCGCGATAAAGGTATCCGCAAAAACCGCCATACCCATAGTCTGGCCCGGCACGCTGCAGAGGAACCCAAGGGTTGATACCGCAGCAATGACCCAGCCATAGAAAAAGGGTGTTCGTGCTGCTGGAAACGGCCAGTCTGTTTGCAGTCGAGTGACCGAATTATCCCTGGTTTTGAGCAATGGCGGCTAATTCGTCAGCAATTTCCTGCACTTCCGGCGCATCCTCACCTTCAACCATGACCCGCAGCAAAGGTTCGGTTCCCGAGGCACGCACGAGAATCCTGCCACGATCGGCAAGGCCAGCTTCTTTCACAGAGATTGCACTGAGCAAGGCAGGGCTACGTGCAACTGCTGCAGGATCAGGCACTTTGACGTTAACCATGATCTGCGGCAGTTTGACCACACCACTGACAAGCTCAGCCACGCTTCTGGAGGATTCCACCACCGGCAGGAGAGCCTGCAGAGCAGCAACAATGGCATCTCCGGTACTGGCAAGATCCAGACACAGGACATGGCCCGAAGTTTCCCCCCCCAGCAACCAGCCTTTATTCAGCAGCATTTCGGTCACATAGCGGTCACCCACTTTAGCTCTGCAGAATTCAATACCCTGAGCTTCCAACGCCTGTTGCAGCCCGAGATTGCTCATTACCGTACCGACCACACCGCCGCCTAAAGTACCGAGAACTTTGCGGTGCGAGGCGATCATATAAATCAGTTCATCCCCGTCCAGCAACCGACCATCTGAATCAACCATTAAGACGCGATCGCCGTCGCCATCAAATGCGATACCCACATCAGCACGAAGCTCTAGAACTTTTTCGCGCAACATTTCAGGATGGGTGGAACCGCAGCCATCGTTTATGTTGACGCCATCCGGCGTCGCGCCAATCAGCTCTACTTCGGCACCCAGTTCTTCAAACACCCGAGGCGCAACGTGGTAAGTGGCGCCATGGGCACAGTCGAGCACAATACGCATGCCGCGCAGACTGAACCCTCTGGGCACGGTTGCTTTGCAGAATTCGATGTAGCGCCCGGCAGCATCACTGATGCGGGAAGCGCGACCTAACTGATCAGAGTCGACACAGGCCATCTCTTCACCCAACTGGGCTTCGATCTCATGCTCAACATCATCTGCCAGCTTGTTACCAAGGTGGTCAAAGAATTTGATGCCGTTGTCGTAATAGGGATTGTGCGAAGCACTGATCACAACGCCCGCATCCGCGCGCAGAGTTCGAGTCAGATAAGCAATTGCGGGGGTCGGCATAGGACCAATCAAACTGACGTTTGCGCCGGCAGAAACCAGGCCGGATTCCAGCACAGACTCAAGCATATAGCCGGAGATTCTGGTGTCTTTACCAATGATCACATGGGCAGGACCTCGTTTCGCAAACACGCGCCCAACGGCCCAGCCCAGGCGCAGGCAGAAACCCGGGGTTATAGGATACTGGCCGACACGACCGCGAATACCATCGGTGCCAAAATATTTTCTGCTCATAGGTCTCTTCCCTCTATTTCAACAACAGCCCTGGGCTATGCAGAGCCTGCAGCACTTTCAACGCATCTGACGTGGCCGCAACGTCATGCACGCGAACCAGATCTGCGCCTCGCTGCACAGCAAGCAGTGCCGCCGCAACGCTGGCCGCCATACGGTCTTCAACAGTTTTGCCCGTGATCGTGCCAAGCATGCTTTTGCGCGATAACCCTACCAACAGTGGCACACCGCTGACTTTCAGTTGAGCCAGCCCATCCAGTAACTGTAAGTTATGCGCTAAGGTTTTGCCGAAACCGAATCCCGGATCGAGCATCAACCTGCCGCCATCAATACCGGCCTGCAGACAAGCAAGGTAACGCTGCTTCAGATACCCTCCAACCTCCGCAATCACGTCACCATAGCGAGGCGACAGCTGCATATTCTCGGGCAAGCCCTGCATGTGCATCATCGCATAACCCACCTGACTCGCGGCGACGGTGGACAACATATCAGGATCGCCACCTGCGCTGACATCATTGATCATGTGCGCGCCCGCCGCGATCGCTGCTGCGGCCACCGGCGCATGGCGCGTATCGACAGACACAATGGTATCTAGCTGTGCCAGCACCTCAACAACAGGGATAACGCGATCCATCTCTTGTGACACCCCTACCGGCTGTGCGCCCGGGCGGGTTGATTCGCCACCAATATCCAGGACATTGGCCCCTTCCTCAATCATCTGCTGGGCCACTGCCTGAACACCAGACAGATCAACACCATGATCTTGAAACAGCTTGCCGCCGTCAGAAAAGGAATCAGGAGTAATATTGAGCACCCCCATGATCCGGGGGTGCTCGAAGGTCAGTGTTTTACCACCGCAAAGCAACGTACAAACGACGTGTCTGGTCGGGTTTAACTTTCTTCCGCAGGGCCACCGATAGGTGACTCGGGCGAAGAGTCAGAACCCGAAGAAGGTGGCTTTGGCTCATAGTCGGTCGGCGCACGAGGTTTGGCACCGGCCATAATGTCATCGATCTGCTCAACGCCGATGGTTTCAAACTCCATCAGGGCATCTGCCATACTGTGCAGCTTGTCGATGTTTTCCTCCAGCATATCGTGCGCGGTGGCATAACACGTGTCGATTATCGAGCGCACTTCTTCATCAATGGCTTTGGCGGTGTCGTCAGACAGCGCTTTCGGCTTGACGCCCGCTGACATACCGAGGAAAACTTCATTGTCGTCTTCGTCGTACTTCAGCGGTCCGAGTCGCTCAGACAGACCCCATTTGGTGACCATACTGCGCGCCAGCGATGTCGCTCGCTCAATATCATTCGACGCACCTGTTGTGACGTACTCCGGACCCAGAATCATTTCTTCCGCTATGCGGCCGCCAAACAAGCTGCAGATCTGCGAGCGAATACCCTGACGGGTAAGGCTGTAACGGTCTTCTTCCGGCAGGAACATGGTCACACCCAAGGCTCGGCCACGCGGAATAATAGAGACTTTATACACCGGGTCATGATCGGGCATCAGGCGGCCAATGATCGCGTGCCCAGCTTCATGATAGGCCGTATTACGCTTCTCTTTTTCCGACATCACCATGGATTTACGCTCGGCGCCCATCATGATTTTATCTTTGGCTTTGTCGAACTCTTCCATCGAAACCAGGCGCTTACCGCCACGCGCGGCAAACAACGCCGCCTCGTTCACGAGGTTGGCCAGGTCAGCACCGGAAAAACCGGGGGTACCGCGAGCGATAATGCCGGGTTCAACATCATCAGCCAGCGGCACTTTGCGCATGTGTACTTTCACAATCTGTTCGCGACCGCGGATGTCTGGCAAACCAACCACTACCTGGCGGTCAAAGCGGCCGGGACGTAACAACGCTGGATCGAGCACATCAGGACGGTTGGTCGCAGCAATCACAATAATGCCGTCATTGGCTTCGAAGCCATCCATTTCCACCAGCAACTGGTTCAAAGTCTGTTCGCGCTCATCATGCCCGCCACCAAGGCCAGCACCACGATGGCGACCGACAGCATCAATCTCATCGATGAAAATAATACAGGGCGACTGTTTCTTGGCCTGTTCAAACATGTCTCGTACGCGGGATGCACCCACGCCGACAAACATTTCGACAAAGTCTGAACCGGAAATTGAGAAGAACGGTACTTTGGCTTCACCTGCAATGGCTTTTGCCAGCAGGGTTTTACCGGTACCCGGTTGTCCCACCATCAGCACGCCGCGAGGAATGTGGCCACCCAGGCGCTGAAACTTGCCGGGATCACGCAGGAATTCAACCAGTTCCTGAACTTCTTCTTTGGCTTCATCAACGCCGGCCACATCTGCAAATGTGGTTTTAATCTGGTCTTCGGAAAGTAACTTGGCTTTACTGCGCCCAAATGCCATAGGACCACCGCGGCCACTGCCGCCACCCTGCATCTGTCGCATAAACAGCATGAATACCGCAATGATGATCAATATCGGGAAACTGGCGATCAGGAGCTGACTCCAGAAACTCTGTTTTTCAGGTTCTAAAACCGTGGTGACGACATTGTTATCAATCAGTTCACTGATCAACTTATCGTCGTTCTGTGGCCAGACCACAACCATACGGTTGCCGCTGCCATCGAGTGCGGTGATCTTGTCACCTTGAATCTGCGCTTCGCGAATCTGACCGGCATTCACCGCTTTCACAAACTCTGAATACGCCACCGGTTCCTGCTGAGGTTCAACATTGAAATTGTTGAAAACTGTCAACAGCACTGCCGCAATGATGAGCCACAGTAATAAATTTTTTCCCATATCTGACAAGGGGTTATCCTCGATGTTGCTTTTCGACAACCGTAGTTAAATTTAGACCGCCAAGATTACACCAAACTCTCGTGATCGTCCTGTGAACCCAGAAAACCTTGTGCGACAACAAACACTTCGCGAGATTCAGGTCTTGAGGCTTTGGGTTTGGTCACAGTTACCTTGGCAAACTGCCGCCTGAGGTCTTTCACCCATTGGTCCAACCCTTCGCCCTGAAAGGCTTTGATGGCCATAGCGCCGCGGGGTTTGAGCCACCGATGACAGGCCAGCAAGGCTGTATCTGCAAGGTCCATTGCCCGCGCCTGATCCACAGCTCTTACTCCAGATATATTGGGGGCCATATCCGATAAAACAAGGTCTAACGTGTCGCCCTGCAAAGCCTGCTCTATCGCCTCATCCACCTCAGTTTCTCCCGCTCGGCCTTCAATGACCACAGTATCCATACCGGCGGTAATCGGCAGAGGGTCTACAGCAATGAGCAGACCTTTGCTTAGCCGATCCTGCAGATATTGTGTCCAGCCGCCAGGCGCTGCGCCCAGTTCGAGGACCCTGGCTTGAGGTTTGATCAGTTTATAACGCTGATCGAGCTGCAGCAGCTTAAAATGTGCGCGGGAGACCTGACCTTGATCCTGGGCGGCACGCACAAAATAGTCTTTATTCTGTCTCTGCAGCCAGCGCGAACTTGATTTGGTGCGTTTTGCCATGATCCGCGTAGAATACCGCAAAGCCTCTTTTAGCCGTGAAAAATGTTAAGCCGTGAAAAAAAATCTCTTCGCCAGATTGCCCATCATCTGGACAGCGTCATTCTGGTTGGAGATCAGGGCGTAACCTCGGGCGTCGAGCTGGAAACTGAGCGCGCTTTAAAAGATCATGAGCTGATCAAGGTGAAAATTTCCATCAGCGACCGGGAAGCCAGAGACCTAGCAGCTCATGCTCTTGCTGCGACCTGTCATGCTGAAATCGTGCAGCGTATCGGCCGGGTTTTTGTGTTCTATCGGGAAAACCCGAAAGCCAACCCCAAGTTATCCAACGTTAAACGCTTCGCTTGAACGTACACTCAGCGGATAGTTATCAACGGTACTCGACCCGATCAATCTCGTATTCTCGATCTCCGCCAGGCGTGGCTACTGAGACTGCATCACCGACGCTTTTACCGATCATGGCGCGAGCTATTGGTGACATGACAGAAATTTTGCCCACTTTCAGGTCGGCTTCGTCTTCACCCACAATCTTGTAGGTGATTTCTTCATCGTTGTCGACGTCCAGCAACGTGACCGTGACACCAAAGATTACTTTTTCGCCCTGGGGCAGTTTCGCCACATCAATAATCTGGGCATCCGCGAGCTTACCTTCAATGTCCTGGATACGGCCCTCGTTGAAGCCCTGCTGCTCACGTGCAGCGTGGTACTCAGCATTTTCCTTCAAATCACCATGTTCGCGCGCTTCGGCGATCGCCTGAGTGATCTCGGGACGAAGCACACTTTTACGATGCTGGAGTTCTTCGCGCAGATTTTCTGCGCCTTCTAGTGTCATAGGCGTCGGCATAGCTTGCCCGTTAAGTCGATTAATAGGAATTTTGAATTACGCATTGATTATAAAGCAGCGTGAATATCTTGCAGCCGCCTGACCCGATCACCCTGCCCCTGAGTAATTGCAATCGCAATCGCTTCCCCTCCAGCCAAAGTAGTTGTGTAACAGATTTTTTTCTGCAGCGCGAGACGACGAATCACCGCAGAATCTGCAATAGATTTACGCCCTTCGGTGGTGTTGATAATCAGATCTATCTGATCGTTCTTGACCATATCCGAAACATCCGGACGACCTTCATTGACCTTGCTGATCTTTGCGCAGCTGATACCGGCGCGCTCCAGACAGCGCTGGGTACCACGGGTAGCCACAAACGTAAACCCCTGGTCCGCCAGAAGCTGGGCGATTTGCGGCAGATTTTCTTTGTCAGAGTCTTTCACGCTGATGAACACGCGGCCTTGCTCAGGCAACACTTCGCCCGCGCCCAGAGCGGCTTTTGCAAAAGCTTCGCCAAAGGTATCGCCAACTCCCATGACTTCGCCGGTAGATTTCATCTCCGGGCCAAGAATCGGATCTACACCCGGGAACTTGTTGAATGGGAATACGGATTCTTTCACGTTGAAAACGGTTGGAATGATCTCTTTGGTAAACTTCTGTTCAGCAAGGGTGGTTCCCGCCATACAGCGGGCAGCAACTTTTGCCAGGGAAACGCCTATACACTTGGACACAAACGGTACGGTACGGGATGCACGCGGATTCACTTCCAACACAAATACATCTTCACCCTGTACCGCCATCTGCACGTTCATAAGACCAACAACACCAAGCTCAAGTGCAAGATCTGACACCTGCTGGCGAATAATGTTCTGGATATGCATCGGCAGATTGTATGGTGGCAGCGAGCAGGCTGAGTCACCGGAATGAATACCTGCCTGTTCAATGTGTTGCATGATCGCGCCAATGACCACCTGATGGCCGTCACAAACAGCGTCGACGTCCACCTCTACGGCCTGGTCCAGAAACCGGTCCAACAACACAGGTGAATCGTTAGACACATCTACAGCGTTCTGCATGTACTGCATCAGCTCATCGTCGTTGTAGACAATTTCCATCGCTCGTCCACCCAGCACATAAGACGGCCGCACAACAATCGGATACCCAATGGCCTGAGCACGCTCAATGCCCTGATAGGCACTGGAAGCCACGCGGTTGGCTGGCTGACGCAGCTGTAATTTCTCAACCAGCTGCTGAAAACGTTCACGGTCTTCCGCCCGATCAATTGCGTCCGGCGTTGTGCCTATAATCGGCACACCTGCTGCCTCCAGATCGTTTGCCAGCTTCAGCGGTGTTTGTCCGCCGAACTGGACGATCACGCCGACCGGTTGTTCCACATCGCAGATCGCAAGCACATCTTCCAGGGTGACCGGCTCAAAATACAGCCGATCAGACGTATCGTAATCCGTCGATACTGTCTCCGGGTTACAATTCACCATGATGGTCTCATAACCATCTTCGCGCATGGCCAGTGCCGCGTGAACACAGCAATAGTCAAACTCAATACCCTGACCGATTCGATTCGGGCCACCACCCAGAACCATAATTTTCTTACGCTCCGACGGCAGCGATTCACATTCTTCTTCGTAGGTCGAATACATATAGGCACTGCTGGCCGGAAACTCAGCCGCACAGGTGTCCACACGCCGATAAACAGGCCTGACATCCAAGGCCTGGCGAAGCTGACGAATTTCGCTTTCGTCCGTCGCCAGGAGCTGCCCCAGGCGCGCGTCAGAAAAGCCTTTGCGCTTGAGGCGATACCAGTCTTCTTTGCCCAGAGCGATGGCAGACACATTAGCCAGGCTGATTTCCGTGCTGATGAGATCTTCAATTTCAGCCAGAAACCAGGGATCGATTTTGGTCGATTCAAAAATATCTTCCAACGACCATCCAGCACGAAACGCATCAGCCACATACCAGACACGCAGCGCGCTGGGTGTGCCCAGCTCTCGCTTCAGGGTAGCGTTCAGCACGTCTGCAGCAACGCTGGCGTCCAACACCGGATCAAAACCTGACATGCCGGTTTCGAGTCCGCGCAGGGCTTTCTGCATGGATTCCTGAAAAGTTCTGCCAATCGCCATCACTTCGCCAACAGACTTCATCTGCGTGGTTAAACGGGCATCAGCCTGAACAAATTTTTCAAACGTGAAGCGTGGTATTTTGGTCACCACATAGTCAATGCTGGGTTCAAACGACGCCGGTGTAATACCGCCGGTAATATCGTTCTCCAGTTCATCGAGGGTATAGCCTACGGCAAGCTTGGCCGCCACTTTCGCAATCGGGAAACCGGTTGCCTTGGACGCTAACGCGGAGGATCGGGAGACCCGCGGATTCATTTCAATGACCACGGTGCGGCCCGTATCGGGATCGATGGCAAACTGAACATTTGATCCGCCGGTATCAACGCCGATTTCCCGCAATACCGCGATCGAAGCATTTCTCAGCAACTGATATTCTTTGTCGGTCAGCGTCTGCGCTGGCGCAACCGTAATACTGTCGCCAGTATGCACACCCATCGGGTCCAGGTTTTCAATGGCACAGACGATGATGCAGTTATCGAGGTGATCACGCACCACCTCCATCTCAAATTCTTTCCAACCGACCAAAGATTCATCGATCAACAATTCCGACGTCGGTGACAATTCCAGCCCACGATTACAGATTTCAACAAATTCTTCTGAATTGTAGGCGATGCCGCCACCACTTCCGCCCATGGTGAACGAAGGTCTTATCACACAGGGGAAGCCAAGCTGGCTTTGCACCTGCAGCGCTTCTTCCAGGCTATGGGCAATAGCAGAACGGGCGGTATCAAGGCCAATGCGCTTCATGGCGCGATCAAAACGCTCGCGGTCTTCCGCTTTATCAATCGCATCCTGGCTGGCGCCAATCAGCTCAACATTGTATTTATCGAGCACACCTTCCCGCACCAGATCCAGCGCGCAGTTCAGCGCCGTCTGTCCACCCATTGTGGGGAGCAGTGCGGTGGGTTTTTCCTGTTCGATGATCGCTGCAACCGTGCGCCATTCCACCGGCTCAATGTACGTCGCATCAGCCATGGCTGGGTCAGTCATGATGGTCGCTGGATTGGAGTTCACCAGGATGACCCGATAACCCTCTTCCCGCAGGGCTTTACAAGCCTGGGCGCCAGAATAGTCAAACTCGCAGGCCTGGCCGATCACAATGGGACCGGCGCCTAGAATCAGAATACTGTCTATATCGGTTCTTTTAGGCATCCGCTTGTCCATCCGCCATCATGTTGATGAATTTATCGAATAAATACACACAATCCTGGGGGCCGGGGCTTGCCTCTGGATGTCCCTGGAAACCAAAGGCCGGCACGTCCGTTCGCGCCACACCCTGAACGGTACCGTCAAACAGAGAAACATGTGTGCAACGCAGGTTGTCCGGCAAGGTATCGCCGTCCACCGCAAAACCATGGTTCTGACTGGTGATGATGACCTGCCTGGAGTCGTTGTCCTGCACTGGATGATTAGCGCCGTGGTGGCCGTGGGACATTTTCAAAGTGCTGGCACCACTTGCCAGAGACAACAGTTGATGCCCCAGGCAGATACCAAAAACAGGCAACTTGTGTTCTAACAATTCTTTTATGGCTGCTATGGCATAGTCGCAGGGTTCCGGGTCACCAGGACCGTTCGACAGAAAAACACCGTCGGGCTTCATGGCCAGCACCTCAGCCGCCGGTGTTTGTGCTGGTACTACCGTAAGGTCACAACCGCGGCTTGCCAGCAGCCTTAAAATGTTGCGCTTCACGCCAAAATCGTAGGCCACCACCTTGTACGGTGTTTGCCCTACTGTTCCGTAACCATCCTCCAGGGACCAGCTGGTTTCGGTCCATGTGCGCTGGGCGCCGGTGACTTCTTTCGCCAGGTCCATGCCTTTGAGGCCAGGGAATGCTTGTGCTTGGGCCAGTGCTTTGGCTTTACCTTCATCGGTGCCGGCGTCTGAACCCGCAAGGATACAACCCGCCAATGCGCCTTTCTCTCGAATCAGCTTTGTCAGCCTGCGCGTATCTACATCGGCTATGGCCACAACGTTTTCACTGCGCAGCAATTGCTGCAGGGATGTTTTTGCCCGCCAGTTGCTCAGGCGCCGCGGCGTCTGGCGAATCACCAGTCCCGCGCTCCAGATGCGATCAGATTCAAAGTCTTCCGGAGTACATCCGGTATTGCCAATTTGGGGGTAGGTCAGGGTAACAATCTGCTGAGCGTAGGAAGGATCGGTGAGGATTTCCTGATAGCCCGTCATGGCAGTATTGAACACCACTTCGCCAACGGAGGATCCTTCGATCCCAATCGACTGGCCGTAAAAAACACTACCGTCCTCTAAAGCGAGTAATGCCGGTATCAAGTGAGCTTCCCTTTTAGTGTGTCGGTGCGGTTACCAACTGCATTCGCGTCTTAGGCGCGCGATTTAACCGGGCTCAACAAGTGTTCTGCTGGATGGGCGTGGCTTACTTTGGAGCAATCCACGTCGGGTTGAACTTAAGGCCGAGAGTCTACTCACCTGGCTGATAAAAATCAGCAAAAAACTGTGCTTCAGATGTCTAAAAGTGTCTGCATCGAGTATTTACCCGGCGCTTTGTTGTGAATATGCCGCACTGCACGTAACGCACCCAGGGCAAAATTCATCCGACTCGAAGCCCGATGGGTAATTTCCAGCCGCTCTCCATCACCAATAAACATAACCGTATGTTCACCCACAACATCGCCGCCACGGATTGTCGAAAACCCAATGGTGTTACGTTCGCGGGCGCCGGTAATGCCCTGACGCCCATAGATGGCATCTTTTTCAAGGTCACGATCTAAAGCTTCCGCCAACACCTTACCCATGTGCACCGCGGTGCCTGAAGGCGCATCCACTTTGTGTCGGTGGTGGGCTTCGATCACTTCAACATCAACGTCATCACCCAGCGCGCGTGCAGCCATCTCAATCAGTTTAAAGGTGAGATTCACCCCGACACTCATATTAGGGGACATGAACAGAGGCACCTGGTCAGCCGCGCGCTCAAGTTGCTTGAGTTCGGCATCGGTAAAGCCGGTGGTGCCGATCACCATGGCTTTGCCCTCTCGACTGCAGAACTCAGCCAGACTCAGCGTCGCCTGGGGTGCGGTGAAATCTATCACCACCTCAAAATCTTCAGGCTTGGCTTGCGCAAAAGGTGAAATCACAATGCCCAGCGCGCCTACACCTGCGAGTTCACCTGCATCCGCTCCCAGAGCTGTGCTGGAAGCGTGTTCAAAGGCGGCGCCTAATTGCAGATCACTACTTTCTGTCAGCGCCTGTATCAGGGTTTTACCCATGCGGCCGGCAGCACCGGTAACAGCGACGCGCAGCATCAGCCGGTTAATCCGTCAAAGAAATTTTTAACCCCATCAAACCAGGACTTTTCCCGCGGTGAATGCTTAGCGCTTTCACTCAACGAGACTTTCAGCTCCTGCAGCAGTTCTTTCTGGCGATCGGTCAGTTTTACCGGCGTTTCCACCACCACCTTACACAAGAGGTCACCGACCCCGCCGCCACGCACCGGGGTCACGCCTTTGCCACGTAACCTGAAAATCTTACCGGTCTGGGTTTCCGTGGGAATCTTGAGTTTTACCCGACCATCGAGGGTGGGGACTTCAAGCTCTCCACCGAGGGCCGCATCAACAATTGATATCGGCACTTCACAATAGAGGTTGCGCCCATCACGGGAAAAGATGGCATGTTCGCGCACGTCTATCTGTACATAAAGGTCTCCCGGCGGGCCACCGTTCATGCCTGCTTCGCCTTCGCCGCTGAGACGAATGCGATCGCCCGTGTCCACCCCGGCAGGTACTTTCACAGACAGCGTTTTACGCTTTTCTGCCCGTCCGGCACCGCTGCATTTGCGACAGGGATCGCTGACTATGCGGCCCTGGCCACGACACCGTGGGCAGGTTTGTTGCAGCGAGAAGAAACCTTGAGAGACGCGAATCTGGCCGGCGCCCTGACAATCAGGACAGGTACTTGGCGTGGTGCCTGGGGCTGCGCCACTGCCATCACAATCTTCGCAGGTGGTGAGCACAGGAATACGCACTTCCACAGTATCGCCGCTGACAGCCTGTTCCAGATCAAGCTGCATGTTGTAGCGCAAATCCGAACCACGGGACATACCGTTGGCGCTACGGCCACCACGGCCCCCGCCAAAGATGTCTCCAAAGACATCACCAAAAATGTCGCCAAAGTTGCCTTCAAAGCCCTGGCCACCACCCTGATTCGGATCGACGCCGGCATGACCGAACTGATCATATGCCCGCCGTTTTTCACGCTCAGAAAGAATTTCGTAGGCCTCTGAGGCTTCTTTAAACTTATCGTCTGAATCTGGATCGTCGGAATTGCGGTCCGGATGGAACTTCATCGCCAAGCGACGGTAAGCTTTCTTCAGCTCTTCGTCTGAGGCGTCTCGATTGATGCCTAGTACTTCGTAGTAATCTCGCTTGGACATAATTAACTCTAAATCTTTTTGTGCTCTACTTCTTTTAGCCGTCTCACATATACGACAAACGCGGCGCCTGCCGTAAAGCAGGCGCCGCGCTGTAAGACAGGCTGGAGAAGAAGCTTACTTCTTATCTTCGTCTTTGACCTCTTCAAACTCTGCATCTACCGCATCGTCTGAAGCGTTCTGACCACCGTCTTCCGCTCCCGGTGCGGGGCCAGCCTCAGCTGCTTCCGCTTCGTACATTTTCTGCGCTAGCCCTGCGGATGCCTGAGACAGCGTCTGCATTTTAGCTTCGATGCCTTCTTTGTCGCCGTCCTTAAGCGCTTCCTCAAGCTCTTTCGCGGCGTTTTCGATGGCTTCTTTTTCTTCAGCTGAAGCTTTATCACCGGCCTCTTCTACCGCTTTGCGGGCGCCGTGTACCAGACTGTCTGCCTGGTTACGCAGTCCAACCATCTCTTCGAATTTCTTATCTTCTTCAGAGTGGGCTTCCGCATCGCGGATCATCTGCTCGATCTCCTCATCCGACAGTCCGCTCGAGGCTTTAATCACAATCGACTGTTCTTTGCCCGTTGCTTTGTCTTTTGCAGAAACATTCAGAATACCGTTGGCATCCAGATCAAACGCGACCTCAATTTGTGGCAAGCCACGAGGTGCAGGCGGAATGTCTTCCAGGTTGAACTGTCCCAGCGACTTGTTCTGGCCAGCTTGTTTACGCTCACCCTGCAACACGTGGATGGTAACCGCAGTCTGATTGTCGTCCGCAGTAGAGAAAGTCTGAGTTTTCTTTGTTGGAATCGTTGTGTTCTTTTCAATCAACACACTCATCACTGAACCCAGCGTTTCGATACCCAGAGACAGAGGGGTCACATCAAGCAGCAACACGTCGGTTACATCACCGGCAAGCACTGCTGCCTGGATCGCTGCACCAATCGCAACCGCTTCATCAGGGTTCACGTCACGGCGAGCATCTTTGCCGAAAAAGCTCTTCACTTTCTCCTGCACCAGCGGCATACGAGTTTGACCACCGACCAGAATCACATCGTCAATATCACTGATGGTCAGGCTGGCATCGTCTAATGCCGTCTGGATGGGGCTGATTGTGCGCTGTACCAGGTCTTCGACCAGAGATTCCAGCTTGGCACGGGTCAGCTTCAGCACCAGGTGCTTGGGACCAGTCTGATCTGCGGTGATGTACGGCAGATTTATTTCTGTCTGCTGGCTGTTGGACAGTTCGATTTTGGCTTTTTCAGCGGCTTCTTTCAGACGCTGCAGTGCCAGTGGATCGCTATGCAGGTCAACGCTGTTGTCTTTCTTAAATTCGTCTGCAAGATAATCAATGATGCGCAGATCGAAGTCCTCACCACCGAGGAACGTATCACCGTTGGTCGACAGCACTTCAAACTGGTGCTCGCCGTCCACTTCAGCAATTTCAATGATAGACACGTCGAAGGTACCACCACCCAGGTCGTAAACGGCTACCTTGGCATCGCCACGCTTCTTATCAAGGCCGTAGGCCAGCGCGGCCGCGGTGGGCTCGTTGATGATGCGCTTAACTTCCAGACCCGCGATCTTGCCCGCGTCTTTGGTCGCCTGACGTTGAGAATCGTTGAAGTAAGCCGGCACGGTAATTACCGCCTCAGTGACTTCTTCACCAAGATATTCCTCTGCGGTTTTCTTCATCTTCTTCAGGGTTTCGGCAGACACCTGGGGCGGCGCCAGCTTTTCGCCTTTTACTTCAATCCAGGCATCGCCGTTAGCCGCTTCGGAAATTTTGTACGGCACCATCTTGATGTCTTTCTGCACAACGTCATCTTTGAACTTTCGTCCAATCAAACGCTTCACTGCAAAAAGCGTATTCGTGGGGTTGGTGACTGCCTGGCGCTTCGCATTCTGACCAACCAGGATCTCACCATCTTCGGTGTACGCAATAACTGAAGGTGTTGTGCGATCGCCTTCAGAATTTTCGATGACGCGAGGCTCACCGCCTTCCATGACAGCGACACACGAGTTGGTGGTGCCAAGGTCAATACCAATAATCTTACCCATTATCTTTTCTCCACAAATTCCCAGCAGGAATGTTCTTAACTTGTTGCTCTATATTTGGTCGAACTGTTTAACTTCAAGTGCTCAATGAGGCCTTTTTCAGGCATCCGGCGCTTTGGCGACAATGACTTTTGCAGCCCTGACCAGACGGCCGTTGAGCAAATAGCCCTTCTGCATCACGTCCATCACTGAATTGGGCTCTGCAGCAGGGTTAGGCACCATGGTCATTGCCTCATGCATCTGAGGGTCAAAGGGCTCACCCAGCGGATCAATCTGTTCAACACCGGATTTGGCAAGCGTATCGACAAACAGCTTGAGCGACAGCGCTACACCTTCGGCTATGGGCTGGGCGCCCTGGGTCTGCTCCGCCGTCTCAACCGCCTTTTCAAGGCTGTCGACAACAGGAAACAGATCGCTGAGTAATTTTTCGACGGCAAATTTGTGCGCATTTTCGATGTCTCGAGCGGCACGTCGTTTGACGTTTTCCATCTCCGCAAGGCTGCGTAGCACCTGATCTTTCAGATCGGCAATTTCGGCCGCGCCTGGTTGTTCGGTTTCAGCAGCGCCCTCGCCACTGTCCTGGGTGACATCGTCCGCCTGATCAGCGGGATTGTCGTGATTGTTCTCGTCTTGTGCCATAGCCGGCCCCTGCTCTCGGATTCGACCGTCCTATATGCGGTCGGAAGGGGCTGATTACAAGGGTTGCTGAGATTTTTTTAACCGCGCAAGGAAATCAATTCTGTTAAGCACGGCGCATGGCCGCGCTCAATAAGCGGGCGGTGACGTCTACGACGGGGATCACATCAGAGTAGTGCATGCGGGTTGGGCCAATGACGCCTAAAACGCCAGCTACTTCACCATTCACCTCATAAGCTGAAGTGACCAGCGATGCATCTCCGAGAGGTTGATAACCAGACTCATCACCGATGAACAGCTGAACCCCGCTACTCTGTAGACACCGGTCCAGCAGGTGCAGCACCCGGCCTTTGTGGGAGATGGCATCAAAAAGACTTTTCACCTGGTCAGTGTCGGTACTGAAGTCGAGCAGCCGGTTTTCGCCTTTGACCAGCAGATCCGGGTCGCGCTCTGCAGGGTCTTCAACAAATGTAGCCGCAGCCATATCCAACGCTGTCTGCATCAGCGTATCCATGTGATCCTTGTCCGCCTGCATGCTCTGCACCAGCGCTTTGCGGATGTCGATCAGAGCGCTACCACCAAACTCCTGGTTGATATAATTTGCAGCCTGAGTCAGCTCGACAGAAGAATATTCGCGCTCAGTATGAATCACTCTGTTCTGCACCTCGCGATCATTCAGGACCAGAATCACCAGCACGCGCTCTTCATCCAGACGTACAAACTCAACCTGCCGCAGGTTGACCTGATTACGCAACGGCGTCGTGATCACACAGGTCATCTGAGTAATGTGGGACAGTAGCTCTGAGGCTGAAGCCACCAGCTCAGCAGGTGCCAGGTCTGGATTCAACTCCGCTTCAATTTCCCGTATACGGGATTCTGCAAAGGGTTCAACGTGCAAAAGAGAGTCTACAAAAAAGCGGTAACCCTGAGTTGTGGGTATTTTCCCCGCTGAGGTATGTGGAGACTTGACCAGCCCCATGGCTTCCAGGTCGCCCATGATGTTGCGCACCGTTGCGGATGACACTGTGATTTCAGGTCGAGTGGCCAGAGTTTTGGAAGCAATGGGTGAGCCGTCAGCAATATATTGCTCAACAAGCAGCTTGAACAGCTGCTGGGCACGAGGATCAACCTGATTGTCCATGAGTTCTCGATTTGCCATCTGGTTTGTCCGAGTTATTCACTTACGGAAAATAGTCGCTTTTGCCTACCTTATTTTTTCCGTCCTTTTATACATTAGGACTGTAGCGTTTGCGTATCAGAATTAGTGAACTGTTTGACCTGCTTGGGTTACGCTTGGCTACTACTATTGACACATTGCCATGCTCAAGCAACTAACCCTACAAAATTTTGTCCTGGTGACTGCCCTGGACATCGACTTCAATGCCGGTCTGACTACCATAACCGGAGAGTCTGGCGCGGGTAAGTCCATCCTCCTGAATGCACTGGGTCTGCTGCTGGGTGAACGGGCACGCACTGAGGTGATCCGCCCGGGTGCGGATAAAGCGGATGTTTGCGCGGAATTCGATTTAGCGCACCTGCCCGCGGTACAAGCACAGCTGGCCGAAGCTGAGCTGCTCAGCGAGACGCCGGAGCAGGTGCTGGTGCGTCGGGTGGTCTCCAGCCAGGGTCGCTCACGCGCCTTCGTTAACGGCATTCCCGTCACTACTGCATTTCTGAAAGACCTGGGCGAGCAACTGGTAGACATTCACGGCCAGCACGAACACCTGCGCCTGGCTAACCGCAACACCCAGCTGAGCCTGCTCGACGACTACGCGGGTCTGACAAAAACTGCGCTTGAGGTAGGCACCCTGTATCGCGACTGGCAGGCAGAAATCCAGCGTATAGAGGTATTAGAAGCGCGGCTGGCCAGTGCTGCAGATCGACAGGATTTACTCGCCTACCAGCTCCAGGAGCTGGAAGAATTCGACCTCAAGGCCGACGAATTCAGAGTGCTTGAACAGGATCACAAACGCCTGAGCCGCGCGCACACCACCCTTGCCAGCCTGCAACAGGCGGTAGATAAACTCGAAGAACTGGATGACCTGCGCCATGCCGTGCGCCAGATACAGAACATAGACGACGAGCACCCCGATCTTGCATCTGGACAAGCAAACCTGGTTTCGGCACTGGGTTTGCTGGACGACGCCAGCCGTGATTTACGCCACTACCAGGACAAAGTGGTGGTTGATCCGGAAGCTATGGCTTTGATCGAATCGCGGCTGAATATCGCTCAGGATCTGGCCCGCAAACACCGGGTTGAACCCGAGGCATTACATACCCACGCTGCGGCCCTGCGAGCAGATCTGGACGCCCTGGATGCAGATGGT